TTTTCTAATGATCCGGCGACCACCGGGATCTACACCCTTCCCCTACACGACGCTCTTCCGATCTACCACTCGGGCTCCTACCCCCCCCCCGGCGCCCGTTCAAATGCCCGCCTCTGAAAGATGAACCATGCCTCCAACGCAGCTTGAAAAGAGAAAACGTTTGTAATTAAGTTAAGCCTGCGACTCAGTTCACGTGTCCTTTCTCCTTGACCAAAAAACCAAAACACTTGCAAGCGTAGAATACCATCTGGGCCTCGCGGCTGCTGGTCGACTCGTTAGCGCCGACGCCGCCACGCCGAGCCCCCCCGATGCCATGGTCCTTTATGCAGCCACCCTGAACTTCACTCAGAAGCGGCAGACATCGTTTGTGTTTTTGTAGAGAAACGATTCAAAATAACTGACCCAGTTTGCTAACGCTCGCACCGAAAAAATGTCTCAAGTAAAAAACAAAAAACACCGCCCACTTAATGTAGCTAGCACTTGATAACATACTAGCTGCCGTAACACTGTCAAGTCAATCAAAAAAGTGGAGGAACGAGTTCCAGCATTGATTATTCTTGCGTTTACCTCAGCGATCGTTGGCACTGAGCTTAATGACTTCTGTGTTTTTAAGATTACAATAGGAATGGCTATTTCAAAGACTACCATGTCCGAAAATAGGAGCCTGTCCAGGATAGAGTGAGCAAAACAAACAAAACCAAAAAAAAGAAAACAAAAAGAAAAACAAATGTAACTTTGTCCCTCAGGATTAAAACAGTTGCCTCACATATTGGCCCAGTTACAGATAGAATGGCTCCATTAGCTGTTTGACAATAGAAAAGGCTACATGATGTTCCTGCTAGAAATTTGAAGTTCAAATGGAATCGTGACTCAGAGCCACAACACCCAAGTGTTTGCCAAGGTTTGATTAAGTCCAAGCTTATTTTACCTTTCTAGTTATTTTCACCAAACAAAATAGTAAAAACAAATTTAGAGCTCTTGGCCATGTTCATCTGGTGAAATGAAAACACAGATTTCCTGTTTAAATTCAAAAGGCACAGTACATTAACATACAAATGATCCTCAGATTACTCAGTTGGGGCGTTGCCCCGCCCCCCCACCAAAAGAACAGAAATACTTTGAACAATGAAAGCCCGACCTGCTGTCGGGACAATGCACGTCAGCATCCATGCTCACTCTGAGGTGTCTGAATCTCTGCGGGCCCTGGTGGCGTGCACGTGCTGGTGATTTCCTTTGCGTGGCGCAGCACGTCCTCCATGAGAAGCGAATGGCAGAGAACCAGGGTTGGTAATGTACTGTGTGTCAGTGAAGCTACACAGGGAGGGTTGTTATGGTCTGGCTTAAGTCAACATGTGGTTTCCATTGGGTTGGCATGGCAGCCCGTTCCTATGGTGACTAGTTCCCCCACCAATCAACGCTACCAGAGTGGCTGTAGTTTCCGCCGTAGCCGTCGTTGCCATAGAAGTTGCCACCAAAGCCACCTGTGAAGGCAACCGTAGGTTAATGATGACGTGGGATCAAAACACAAGCATCTGAAAGGAGCTGCTGGGGGACAAACTTGCCTCCAAAGCCACGGCTCCCTCCATGGCCTCCGGTGCTGCGCCCTGGACGGCTGCTGGTGAAGCCTCCAGAGCCACCGGGCGTCTGACGGTAGTCACGAGCTCCGAAACCACCAGAGAACCTGAGAGAGCATTTAGACCATCCCTGAAGTCATTCCATGTCATGCACATTTTCTTTCCAGATTTTAGAGAATTTATTTAGACAATCACAGCAATAAAGACCCGCTCGATAAGCTGCGGGCTGTGAAGTCAAACAAAAACAGAAAGCACAGGGGGGGCCGGTACCTCTTGGAGCGTCCTCGAGCGCTGCTCTTGTGCTGGTGCTCGTAGGCCAGGCTTTCAAGCCAGGAGGGAACCTCCTGCTTGGCCTCGACCAGGATGTCCAGCAAGTCTTTGGTTATGTTGCTGTTTTTGTCGTTAAAGAACGACGTGGCCAGACCTGAACAGAGTACAATAAAGATGTGATGTGCTGGTCACCATAAAGCTGAAAACAAAAAACCCTTACAGGGAGATAAACTGAAGTTTTACCGAGGTTGCCCACACGTCCCGTACGGCCAATACGGTGAACGTATTCCTCAATATCACTGGGCAAATCAAAGTTGATGACGTGCTTCACGTTGCTGATGTCCAGGCCTCGAGCAGCCACCTGCACAGCCAAGACAGCACAAGGCAGAAACGGGAATGAAATTGGGAAAACAGTCCCAAACAGTTTTTCCACATCCGAAGCCAAACCAGGAAGCAGGTAACCACAATGTTATGAAACCAAGTCCTAGTTTACATTATGTTCAAGCTAGAATTAAAACCCCATTTAAAATGCTGTTAGAGATCCTGATGACAAAATGGAGGGAACCAACTACTTACGGCTGTGGCCACCAAGATGGGGCATCTTCCAGAGCGGAACTGATGCAGCGCCTCCTCTCTGTCCCTCTGGGATCGATCTCCATGGATGCTGGTGCAGGCGTAGCCCTCGCGGTAAAGGAAGTCTTCCAGGGCATCTGCTCCTTTCTTTGTTTCCACGAACACCAGAGTCAGAGAGTCTTTACCTGAGTGGCCAGAAAATAGAGACAAGACAAAAAAGGAAGACTGAGTACATGAGCCAAAGGAAAGAACTTAAAACTTTTAGAAAAGAGGCATGTGCATGGCAAACAAATAAAATTAAAAGAAAATTTAAAGGCTAAATGGAAACTCATAAATGGAGAGAAGGGTTGCATCTATTCAGTCTTGACAACACACAAGACAAAAGAATAACTTGCCTCATTCAATCCATACATTAATGGCTACTGGAACAAAGCTTTAAGACGACATGACTGAAGGGTAATGGTGGAGGATCAGTCTTTTTTAGTCTGCTTTACCATACTGCCAATACAATGGCTATAGCCAGAAAAAATAAACTTATGTCCATTACTACAAAAAATGTAATAAATAAAATAAAATTCCCTTTAAACCCAGATAATAGCCCACCAATTAGTCCACCTCTACAAGCAACTTAAGTCCATCTGCACTTTTAGGAAGTGGCGTTCTCCAGAATGACAGAAGCGACAGAAGCAGGCAGTTGTAAAACAACAACACACTCCTGTTCAATTATCCATCCAGTCATTTCAAGTATCTGAACACAGCCTAAAATGGTTTTGATCAACTAAAAATTACAAAATCAGGACCATTGAAAACCCGACTCAAAGTGGCGACTGGCCGAAAACGGCCACGGTGAGACCACCGACCTGAACACCAGCAACATTTAGCAGTGTGAACAGTGCAAGGCAAATGTTGCTAAAAAAAAAGTTCACTGGAAACTAAAGAAAATAAATGAAAACTCAGGCAGCATGTCAGCCAGGGAGCAGGGGGGACAGGATGAGCTGTGGGATGTGATGTTTCTGGCTTGTGGGTCAGAGTAAGGTTTGTAATATTGTTCACACTTACCCGGTTTCTCTGGGGTCTCTGTCACATTTTCCTGAACCTCATTGGGAATAACTAAGATGAAATCAAACCAGCCAGTAAACGCAAGACTGCTCAGTACACAACTTGAACAGCTTTAGATCATGAGAAGCAAAGCTTCAATGCCTGCTCCACCCTGAATGGGACTATATGTCAATCCCCCACCCCACCAACAGGTTTAGTTATAATTAACATTTATTAGAGGGGCAGCAAAGTCAAAATTAGCTTGTCATGGAGCACACTGGACCAGGATGATGAGTTTAAACCCAACAAGTAGTTTGCCGGGACAGACTGAGGTTGCTGTGTACATTTCCTACCTGTGGCATTGAGCAGATCAAGAAGGAAGGACCTCTTGTCAGTGTCCTCTACCCAAACCACTTTCTGAGTGATGTTTTCTGAGGTGGAACCAACACGACCCACTGCCAAGAAAATGTAGTCTTCCAGGAAGTCGCGTGCCAGGATCTAAACACAAAATCATTTGAGAACCGAGATAGACACATTCAGCCAGGCCACACGCTCTTTATTACACCAACGTACCTGAATCTCTTTGGGGAAAGTGGCACTGAACATCATAGTCTGGCGGATGCCCTTAGGCGGCATTGTATCCTGCTCCACAATGCGCCTGATTTGTGGCTCAAAACCCATGTCCAACATGCGGTCAGCCTCATCCAGGACCAAGTAGCTGCAGACACATGTTATGCTTTGTGAGTGAGATGCTCCAGGCCAAAGAATTAAAGACTTGATTAAATAAAATATACTGACTTGCAGTAGTCCAGACCGATCTTGCCCCTCTCCATCATATCAACCAAACGTCCAGGTGTGGCCACCAGAAGGTGACAGCCTCTCTCCAGCTCCCTGATCTGCTGACCAATGTCAGCGCCACCATAGACCACACAGGGTCGCACACGAGAGCGGTAGGCAACCTGAAAAGTGCAAGTGAACAGTTAGCACTGATTAAAACTTTTAGCAATAGACTAAGGAATCAAAGTTGGGACTGCCACAAACTCACCTTCCTGGCCTCATCATAGATTTGCAAAGCCAGCTCTCTTGTTGGAGCCAAAACAAGAGAGAGTGGGTACTGCTTACGGCGGCCATACCTTCCATTGTCCTGTGGAGGGAACGAGTGTTGATAGGGGATCAAGTCATATTTTGGGATAATCTGAGTGTTTGTGGATCTCATCCAGTACCTGTCCGCTGCCCTTTGCAGCTTGCAAAGCATCTCCTGGCCCCTCAGTGTAGATCTGACTCAGCACTGGCAGCAAGAAAGCAGCAGTCTTACCAGAGCCTGAAATGCAACAGGGACCTGGCTCGTTACAGCGCACTTACAACCCACACAGCCAACTACTCACGTCAGTGTCTAGCAGTCAAAAACACACTGTGCAGAACACGAACCAGTCTGGGCGCAGGCCATGAGATCTCTCTTGGATTTGATGATTGGGATAGCATACTTCTGGACAGGCGTGGGACGAGTGTAACGACTCAGGCCGATGTTGCCCATGATGATCTCCCCCATATCCACATCATGGAACTACATATGACAAAAAGCATTTTAAATTATTTTTACTGAACCTCATATGCCACAAAATATCACTCAAAAGCAACTCACACTCTCAATGTGGGGAGGGCAGTTGCTTCCAGTGGCCTCCACAGGAATATCGTCATACTTCTCAAAATTGATCCCAGTGTTGCCTCCAGAGAAAAGCTCACTGAAAGACAAAAAATAAATATCAAAATAAGGGGGGGACCCAGACAGTGTGGTTGTAATACAGATATAAAGGGCTGCCATTTAGGTAATGTGCAGGCAGAATCTTTCTTACTGTTCCAGACGCTCATTTGGAGCAGTGGGCTTGGACCAGTCATCTTCTCTGGAGTCTTCCTGCCAGCGGCTGTTTCCTCCACCTGAATAGCCCCCACGCTCATATCTGTACACACGCACACATGCTGCGTAAATGCGCTGCTTGAATCAATAGGTTTCGTTACTGTCACATCAGCAATAAAAAAGCAAATGTGCAGAACGCACTGACAATGTTAATCTCTGTTAGTCAAGCATTTATGTCAAGTTACCTAGGTTAGGTTTAACCTTAAATGGCACAAGAATTCAAATTTCAGCATTTTACCCACCTTCCTCTGGAGCCAGTCCCACGTTCATTGAAGAAAGATGATTTGGACCTGTCATTACGTCCTCCAAAGCTGTTGTAGGCAGCATCCCTGGGAGCTCCTCCCCAACCAGCATCTTTGTTTTCAAAAGTACCAAACCCTATTAGACGAGAAGCCCACTGGTGATGTGCTATGAGATGTTTTTAGCCAATAATTTGTTGTCATGCGATGTCAGTTCCTTACCAAGATGAGAGCATACCACCAGTTCCCCTCAGGATACAATTAGGTTTTCAAATAAGAGTTGCATCCAACTAAGTTGTTGCTAAGTGGAGCTTATAACCGACTACAAATAAAAGAAATACAACCTATACATATAGAGGCGTGGGTGAGGGTGGAGTTCACTTCTAATTCACTCTACGTCTACTGTGGACATTTTAATGAACAGATTTCCCCACCTGTATTTTGTAATGGCTGAATAAACGAGCCTCCACCCCTGTTACCACGGTAGGCGCCACGCCCACCTCTATCATTGCGAGGGGGTCCACGCCCTCCAAAGCCCCCATTGGATCGGTTGTCGTAACCATTCACAAATCCATTGGTGCGTCCAGCATCCCATCCCGGTGCATCTTCATAGAAGACAAAAAGACTATGAGGCTTCAGAGGCAAATAAAATCGCAAATGAAGAAAATACTATACTCCAACTCAAAACTGGAAGTTGACAAAAGGCTTGTGGGTAGTAATGACCAAATTGAGAACCAATTGGATACCATCAAGGCCAAATCTATACCCAGAGTTCAACACCCTGTCTCTGTCTTTATGGGACATTAACCACAACGATCTGCCCAGCTTTGGACACTGGCGGTGTTGTTCCCCATCGGTGGCTACACTTATCAATGCAGGCTGATTTGGGATGGGGGGGGGGGCAATAGACAGCACTGTCACAGTAAGATGAAGTAGCTGAGGATATTCCACATAAACCTCGAAGGGCGAGGGCAATAATTAAAAGGGACAGGGCTGATTGGTGACCATTTTGTCTTAAAACCTTAAGTCAACAGTTAAGCTCATTCATCACAGTGCCCCCTTCACGCAGGGAAACAAAATCCTGTGATGATTCACACAAACTCGAGCACCATCCCCAATACTGATCTGAGTCTTTTGATGGCCCAATATGCTTGGGGGGGTGTAACAAAATTCATGATTCAGTACTGACCTCTTGGATAAAAGTAACACTATTGAACTCAGAACAGAGCTACACTTTGACAAGTTCACCTTTCAAATTTACTCAATTTGGTTTAAGGAAAGCATTTAACCACAGAAAATAAACAATGTGTAATTAAATTTAGTCACTCAGATTGGCATCGGATAACGCAACCTGAACTCTGCAAACATGGCAAAGCACACCATGCAGTAAAGTTTCAGTCTAATACTACAAGATGGTAATGCATTGAATAAATAAAACCCCAAAGGCAAACTATGGATCAACATGGTTTTGTTTGAGTTTTCAGAACAAAATGGAGATTAAATGCAAATCTAACCTAACCTTCCCCTGATTGCTTTGCGTGTATAATGAACTACAAGTAGTTAAGTGACTACAATAACACTTAAAAGAACATCTCTCAAAGCATTACATTTACATCAGCCCCTTTATTTATGATGCCTGTTCTGTGTGCAGACCCGATATGAGATGCTCTTTCAGCAGGATATGCTTTAAAGATTGAGCCAAAAGTAGTTTGACTTATTCTGGCCAAGAGCTTTTCTTTAAGCATGAAGTCACACGGGCAAAAAAGTACATCTGGGCCCAGTAGAAGCCAGCTAAAACCACCATTTTAAAAAAAATCTGGTGAGGACTAAATGATGCCTCTGGTAGAATAGTTGCCAACAATATTCAGTCATGGGCCACAGATTAGTCACCATATGCAAGTTTCTATTCCAAGGAACCTAAAAATTCGAAAAGACTGATTACATCTGCAATTCTGTAATCAATAACCCCACTCAATACTTCCCAAGAGGCAGAGACAGGTTTAAAAGCACATGATAGGCCTACTAGTTAGTGAATGGGATTGGCTAATGTTGGAGCAGCAATTGAACAATGCAAACCAAGTGTTTTTCTGTGTTTCATCGGTTAGTCAGCCACACGAGTGATGCAGTACCAACAACATGCATCCAAAGCAACTTCTTTTGCAAGCTTTGACAAAATGTTAGGCCCAGATTTCTGCTGCTTTTATCAAGTGACCATGACAGAGCAAGGATATGTCAATTATGCCCCATTGTTCAACTATATACACTATGAAACTGTGCCAACAAGTTGGTGGCATGGCATGCAGGTGGAAGTCAGGTATACCACAATTGTTTCGCCAACCGCCACTGTAGGCATGGTAAAAGGCAAGCTCTTGAGATGCCAGTCTTGGGTAACCTGAGCAAAAGTAGGGAAGCAGTCTATAAAAAGATTCACCCAGGAGTACTGGCTCATGCAGTTTAGTGCCAGGTTTGACTTTCCACAATAATTACCAATCTGACAGTCATCCCATCCTGAAGGATAGTTATTTCTCTGTCTTTGCTGACACTCAGCCTGCCATGGTTGTGGGCACTGCTTAGAGGAAACTTGGGGAACATCGCAGGTGAAATATGGGCATGAATTTTAATTGGTAAAAAATTACGTGAATCAACAGTTTGCTTAAAGATCTTTTAAAATATTAAATTAAAGAAAAAAGCATATTCAACTGCTTGTGCTTATTTCAGGATTGTTGTAATATTTGGACTGCAAGCATTTGAGCAAAGTGAAGCACATCAATTAACGATAAGCTCACCACCAACCCTTACAGTTAAATGTATGGACCTAATCAATCCCCATCCTCCCTTCGCACTGGCTTTGCTGGTATGTAAAATGGCTATTTCATGCATCTGGAAATGCAAGTTGCCCTCAGCGAAAGCAGACAGAAGGGACTTACAGAAATTTACTGGTGCCACTGAATAACCGCACTGTCTACCAGCGGAATAAGCATTTCCTGTTGTGGAATAAGAAAACAGCAAAACGGGAAAAAAGGTCAAGTGTGCAATGACACAGTACCATAATTTCAAGTTTGTTGGTAATCACATTGTGTTTTTTTTAAAGCCTTTAAGAAGCTAAAAAGCAGACTTAAACCACCTCACATGATCCCAGTCCCTAAGTGACTAACAAACCCACCCTACACAATTCACCTTATCAGAGCAGCCAACAGCCAGCACTACTCTTATAAAAAAAAGAGTGAGACGCTGCACCAGCAAAAGATTCAACTTGGGGATAAATTACCCTCGAACATAGTTTAACAGAATCAGACTGAGCTGATTTAGCCCCATTCTCTAACCTGTGTGCAGACTGGGGTAAAATTAAAATCCAATGCCAACATACAATACCACTTGCCCTACTTTACCAGTGCCAAAATGAGCTTTTATGCACAGACAAGAAACCCATTTGACATGGCATTCTCCGAGTCTGTGCACCAATGAAACGCCTTATATGTTCCAATATGCAGCAAAAATATGCCTCACCTATTTTCTTCTCAATTGTGCTTGCTTTTACCATGCTCTGATGGGCTTTGAGAGGGATGTTTATTTGCTTTTAGTGGGGTTTATGTAATTCTTATGAATATTCAGTTACACACATAAAAGATGTGGTTAGAGCCATTCCTGGCCATTTAACTGTACCATTTCCTTATCCCAGTAAACATGCAGGGGAGGGATATCAAAACATAGACTGAATTTCTGTTTTATGCAGAAGTGATATGGGCCGTGTGAGTGAAGGTAGAAGGTATTTCACAGCGCCGACCTCCTCTGTGGTATATCATTGTCCAAGTTACTCAATGTCCATAAAGGAACAATACATCAATCTGGTTTGACTCATGTCACGTAACATGCTTTATTGTGCCTTACCTGCAGTAGACAGTATAGAATTGGATGGTTTCCAGAGAGAAATTTTAAAGCGACAAATGGGTCAAGAAACCCCCTTTACTTAAAAGCATATTTTCGGATTTTGAGTGTTTGCTTCTTTAAATTGAGAGCATTGAAAGTCGTCTACTACAGAAAATGCACCAATTACTCTCAAGCATTACAATAAACCCCACATTAAAAATATATATGTAACAGAAGTATCCAGCAGTCAAACTCGCCAGTGGGCAAATGGTTGCGGAGCAGAATATTTTTGACTTACCATTCTTTCCGGCATCTTTGTTCCTCAAGTGAGGTGGAATGTAACGTCCTGATTGAAAGAAAACAATTATAAACTAAAGCACACAACCCTAAAATAAACTTTTTTTAAAATCACGGTCAACCAAAGACTTAATACAGTTACAAAATATTTTAATCTATATGCTAACAAGTAGCCAACAAGACATTTTCTTGACCCAATAGGAAAATTAAATGCAAAACTATAAACAGTAAGTTATCTACCACTATGTTCCCAAAATTATTCATGTGAAGTGGCTTGCTAAATGGTCTTAAAAGTTGTTATCTGTGCACACAAAACAAATTATGCATTTTGTACGAAAAAGGTCATCTTTTAACAGTGCAAATCACGTAATTCATGATTACATATCAGCTGGTTTATTACTTACTGCCAGTTCCCCCGCCTTGTCCGTCAGAGTTTAAGTCTAGGCCAGCAAGCTACAAAAAAGAAAAGATTAATTACATTTTTAAAGTGAACATGGTATCAGTATGTCACATGACTATGTAAAAATCCCCCCCCCCCCCCCCAATATGATCCAGTTTAAGTGGATAACTTAATTATTAATTATCAAAAACGAAAACGTAGAGAAGTGTAAAATATAGCAAGATGCTTCGTTAGAAGATAAAGTGCGAGCCATGTCAAAATGCAGAAATGCACTGGTGGAGGCCAAAAACCGCTGCCAACATTTTTTTCCTGCGCCACGTTTCAGGCTCGGAAGGCCTCACATTAGCACGGCCGCTTTGATAGGATGCCGGCCGGGCCGACGACGTCAGTTAGCCCGGTAATTTTCCATTACTTTCTGAAAAGTTCTGATGTACAAAAGTTTATACGTTATCAAATTATGCTGAGTTTTGACTAATGGTTTGTGAAACAGACATTGGGAAAAAACTTAGATAGTCCGAAAACTGGGTGCGCGAGCACAACGTAACGAGTTCCGCCATCACAATCCTCTCCGTCGCGACTCCATTTTAGCTGCCAGTGAGTTAGCCTACCTAGCAGCTTAGCTAACGAATCCCCCGTTTCTTCCTCTAAACTACATAACCATAAGGAAAAATGACCAACTTTACACGAGAAAACAGATAAGGTAAAACACTTACCTGCTGATCTAGACCGTGTGGATTATCAACGACCACATGACTCATAACTAAATAGAGTAGTGGGGGATTATTTCTGAAGAGAAAGGATTTTCTTTGTTAGCACCACCGGCTCAGTTCAAACGTTAACTTAGCTTTCTTTTCTGTACAAATTACTATTTCGAACGACGGTTAACGGTCAAGAGTGATAGATAAGTACGATTACTTTAAATAAATAAAATTCGTTGTATCTTATAAATACAAATATCGACTTTCAAAACGAAATCGTTACTGCAGAGCTGTTAATAGACACCCCCTCCCGGTAGGCTTGACCGTGGTGGAATGAGGCACTAGGTACTCAGGTAGCGCGAGATATCCCCTCTGTAACCTCAGGCTCGCGGTCTGACAGCCAAATATCGCGATGTTTTGCTTTTGTTTGTTTTTCTGTTTTGTTTTTTATCTCTAAGTTTGGATTGTTATGCCTTGTAAACGTAAAAAAGGCTGGGTATAAAAAAAAAAAACACTTGTGTTTCCTGGAACAGATTGATACGCAGACATGATTATGATTGACAACTTTTATGTCTCTTAATAGCCTGGATCAAATTCTTGGTTAAATTTTACAAATCGTTTTATTTTCTAGTATAAACCACAAATATTTCAGCCCATGTAACATGGTTTCCATTTTCAATTGGAGCACAGGAATTTATGCTACTTAATCTTGGCTCTTTACATGATCACACCTCTAAATTGCAATACCTGAAAATAAAAAAACACATCTATAAAACATCTTTAAACAAATTAAACCACGACACACTAGAGTTTGGAATTATGTGTGATCATACAAGTGCCTTTGGGGTATTTATTCCTTTTTGCAAACTATGTTGTGCAGACGTGATTATCTGCTGCTTATTTGTTAATACCTTTCTTCTAAGTAAAAGTACTTTCTTCTAATCTTTCAAATTCTTCTTCAGCATTAGTTCACCAAAGAACTTTATTTGTACCTGACCATTTTCAAAAGAATGTGTATTTTTTTTGTTGATCTATCGCTGATCTATATTTAAAGAGTTTTGGATATCTGATTCCACGAGGGTAGTCACAAGCAACAGTACTCTTCCTTTTTATGCAAACATTGTTCCAAGTTAGATAATGAAAGCAGGGAATTTAGGGGGGTTTCCTGATCATTCGCTTCCCTTTGTGAAGTCAGGCAGGGTTGAGCACAAGCTCAGCCAAGGCCTTGCCTATCATTCCACCTCTTTTGCACTCTCATTCTGTGTTTCCATTCGCTGGCAATGAGCCTTCTGTACAGAATACAGGACAAACTGTGTCCCTGCTCCCATCCCTCACTCTGCACTGCACCAGCAAGGCAAAGAGGCCAGGGGACACCATACGTCACTGGGATAAGGCACAACTAAAGTAATTGGCTTCGGGGGCCGGGGGGTTAAAGGTGTACTGGTTAGAATTCCTTCATGGCGGACAATAAAGATTACATTTAGTAACTTTGGTTTGAAGATCCTCACAAACAGAAGAATTAAGAATCAAACAGAACACTGCATAGCTCCCAAAACGACTTCATGAATGAATACTCTCCATTCCAGTAAATGATCAACTTGACAAAGAGCATGACGGATACAGACAATGAAAGGCTACATGCTGACTTAATCAGTTCCCGAGGGAAATCATATATGGGACACACAAAATGCAACAGTAAGCAAAATGCAAGTATTTACGATGGTTAAGAGTCACACAAACAGGACAGAATGTACCTGTTTAACAATCCCAAACCTGTGCTTTTCCATATCAGTGCTTTGACATTTAACAGTCAGTTTGTCAATTTCTGTGGGATTGCTACCTCTGTCATTGTTCACTAAGCCGGAGCATTAATGTTTTATTAGTCATCCTCTGTTCGTCATTGTGTGCGTATAATCAGGTGAACCAAAAAAAGCACCTGCCCACTGAAAAAATGTTGTTTGACTTGATATAAAACTTACTGCGCCTGGGGCAGTTTTAAAAAAATGGTGTTAAAGCTAAAAAATGTGGGCTTATTTGCTTTGATAAGTTCTTCTCTTCTGTTTCTGGACATATTCCCATGGTCTGGTCATTCTGAAGGACTTTTTATTGTTGTGATTACAGGTTGGCTGGAGTTTTGGGGGACCATGTGGCTCCATCTGCTGGACCCCACAGCATCCTAACAGGCAAACAGCTTCAGCTTTATTCAAAGTTTCACTGCACTTCATTTTTCTTATTAATTCTAATATGGATGTACTTAATATTATAAAAGGGTCTTTACATAGGGTTTTTTCCTATGTCAAAGTAAAATGTTGATGCATCAGATGTGATGCCTGTCTAAAGTTATTCATGTTGCATGTTTGATGTTTATCTATGTATAAAATTCAAAACCTTGAGGCTGAACTAGTATATATACTGTATATATATTTTTTTTTTCAAAATACCAACCAGGATTGTGTTCGGGGAGTAAGCTGAACAGTTATTTTTCCACTAGCAGCAGATTTAGGTTCCCCAAAGTTAAAAACTGCTTTATTTTGCATAAATAAAGTTTGTTTTACTAAAATCGTTCTCTTGTGGGTCAATTACAAGTGTGGTGACATTCTTATGCTAAGCATTTACAAATAAAAACCACAGATCCCATTGTGATAATCAGAATATCCCCAAACAGTATTTACCCAAACCTGGGACAACCTGAGGAACAGGAACTTTTTATCCAAAGAGCATTTTTTTGTTTTTCAGCAAACTGTTTAAATGTATGACACATCCTGTAATGTGATTAGAGTCTTTAAAATATAGGTAAATATAAACAATGACTATAGTGTAGTAAAAATGTAAATAAAACAAAAACTTTATTGAGACAAAGACATTAAAAATACAGATTATAAAAAGCGGACAGACTGATTCTCAATTTCAACAGACGCGCACGCACACACACACACACACACACACACACACACACACAGACACATATAAACACTGTAGTGAATCCATCCATCTATCTGCCTGTCTGTTCTGGGGGGGGGGGTTGAGAGCTTCACCAGCCGAACATGTACTCCATCGCTTTGGAAACGAAGCTGTCGTCCTTCCTGGGCGTCTGTCTGTCAGCTACCACCTGGACAGAGACGGAGGATTAGCCGGCGAGAGGCTAATGAGACGGTCACCAAACTGACCGGGGCCGACGTGGGGGTCTCGGGTTACCTGGTAGTCGCTGCCGGAGCTCCGGTAGGAGGCGCTGAGGGGCCTGATGGCGGAGCGGGGGGTGGAGGGAAGGGCGGAGGAGGAGAAGGAGGTGGAGAGGGCAGGAGAGACCACATCACCGGTTTCCATCACACTCTGAGAGAAATAAAGAGACGGTTAATGTCGCGGCTGCTCCGTCACACTCAGCTGAGGCCAGCGGGCCCCCAGAGGGAGGACGGACAGGGGGCTCACCTTGTCTATACAGGGCTTGACTCCCACCATGATGGACTCGCCGAACACCTTTCCATCCTTGGACAAAGCTTTCCTGGCCTGAAGTCGGGACTGATACTGAAGGTGCATCCAGTTGCCAGGAGACGCCATCTGTCGAAAAAACATCATGGATGAGCCCCCCTCCTGCCCAGTTCACCTTAGACTGCCCACTGTCTAACTCTGAGCTTTGGATTCTGCACACACATGCAGATCTTCCCGCAGCACTTTTGTGTCTCTGTCCTCCTGTTTGACCATTTTAGTGGGTTCACGTCAGCGCTAAGCTCCTGAGGCCTTAAGTAGAGGCATGTGACCCACTGGGAGCAATCAAACCATGACTGTTTGTGTTTAAGGTGCAGTAAGTGATAAAAACAAGGAACTCAGAGACTAAAATAGAAATAATTCTTACCTGAGGTTAGAAAAATACTTTCTGATTGCCTTACATTCTTCTAAGTAAATTAAGCAGTCAAAGCAGAGCAGTCAAATGTTCATCTCTGGTCATTTCACAGCAGTTATGCTCTAAGAAACACATAAAAACACCCCCCACTGGAATGTTTTCAGGACTTTCTCTGTGACTTCACACTGTTTAAGAGGTGCGACGACCCTCAGCAGACTAAATCTCCCGGATCTCTTCCTCTCTTTAAAGGAAATGCAGAGAAAAACCCCTGATTGAAATCCTTGTTCCTTTAAGCCCATGGAAAAATTAATAAATAAATACCTGGAGCATTTTGATTGAAATAGTTGCCTGAAGTGATGGAGACAGGGGTCTCACCTTGTGCTTGAGGATGTTTCCATACTGAGCGAACTGCAGCAGGATGTAGGAGGCCGAGGCCGGGGGAAACCTGGTGAACAGACACATGCGGCTCATGTGGCCATGGTACATCTTAACAGAGGTGGGGTGAGAAGCTTAAATACCCGAATACGGTGACCCAGGTCTGGTCGAGTTGATCTTCAGATGACAGAGACTCTCCCTGACTGTAGAAGGGATCCACCTGAGCTGGAGACAAACACAGCTGCTGCACACCTGCAGAAGAGACGGGATGAGGGATTGATTAACAATCTCCATGGTGATTAGAACACATCTCAGAGATTCTTCTGAGGGGTTGAAGCAAAAGGGTAAAACCACCTACATAAAAGACCATAAAAATATGTGAAAATGAGTCATGATGGATCATTTCCTGACTGTCTGTACCTGTTCCTGTACCTGGGGTCGATGCCTGCCGTGCAGAGAGGGGCGACTGCATAACTGGAAAAGACTGAAAAGAGACAGAAACAGAGAGAGACTTTTTAAAAATGTATTTAGATCACGCCATTTAATATTTACACAGAACAGCTTATCTATTCATTAAATATTCTGTCACAGGTTCCCAAATGTCATGGGCTTCAAATTCCTGCTTACAAACCTGTCTAAGTGCACTGAGAGGAGTCCCCACTGTGACCAGGTCATCATGGATGCTGCGAACAGGCGGAGCTCCGCTTTTATCTTTGGGAGTGGGAACAACAGGCTGCAGAGCTGAACCTCCTCCAGCTCCACCTTAAGCACACACAGAAAACACACCAATAAGCCGACCATATCTATCCTAACAGCTAGCAGCTGATAAGAAGACCAGGAGCCTTCGTGCTGACCTCGATGTGCGCTCGGGCTCTCAGCGATCGGGGTGGAAAGGCTGAAAGGACGCGACTGTGGACTGGTTGGAGCAGGGAGGTCACCCATCAGGAAACCGGGCAGAAACTGAGCCCCGGATGCCGGTTTGGGAGAGGTGGGAGAGCCCAGACTCATCGGTTCAGTACCCACTGACAGACAGTAAAGGAACTATTAGAACTAGGTTTCTTTTCAATTTATTTGGGATAAATGGGTGGTGACAGCTTATGTCAACAATTATCGCCCATAGAAAAAAAAAACAACAACTCTGAATTAGCATCCAAATGTTAGGATGCTGGAATTTGGGCCATCTTTCTTTATTCTCAGCCTCGCAATTACCTTGTGCTTAGCCAGTCATTAAGCAGTACACAATCACCGTTTCCGCAGTTTCAGCTCAGTTAGAAACATTAACTTACTCTTTTAGAAAGCTGTTTTTTCTTTTGATTAAGAAGAAAAATACAAACAGCTGGATTAGGCGTAGTTTTGGTTTGCTTGTGTGCTGTTGCACTGCACACAGTGTTGAAGAACATCCCTTTTACCACTTGATACTAAAAACGAAGCTGCTGCAGGATCTGCGTAAAACTAAGTCCACTGTCACTGGCTAAGAGCTTAATTGAAACTTGACTAAAGCTTGACCAAACTTCTAAAATAAGAAACTTCTACTTAGCTGCTTGGGAGCTAACATTAGGCTAACAGCTTTTGGTGCAGAATCGAGAGAGCAAAACATATGAAGAGCAACAAATAAGATCACAATAACAATTCCTGATAAAGACATAACATTGAAGTACCTTGTAACTCCATCTCTGCTCGTTTTTAGAGGCCGCGATTTTCAAAAAGTAGGAAGTGACGAAAGGGAAAGGCCAGGCACCCAACTAACGTAGCAAACGGAGTTAACTAATTTCTCGCTACTAGTTATTGTTACCCTCAGAAATAATATGTAAGGAGCTAAATATAGTCGTATAGAATTAAAAATATTAATTTGGGAGTTTTAAAAGAAGGTATAGAAGCAAGCTCTAGGTTACAGTTTGGGTTCAGGCACACCGGTACAGCAAGCCGATGCTACCCTGTAGGCACTGATCTTACTTCCGGCACACATATATGACGTCAGGGCCGGGATGCGTTTAAGTGAGTTATTTATTCATTACATCTAAAAGATTTCCAATTCAACTTATTTATAAAGACAAGAAAAATAAAAAGTCCTGTACATTTTACAGAGTGACTGATCCATTTAAATTCGAATACAAAGACAAATGGCCTATTTCATCAAGCTCAGTTGAATTGCATTCTATTCAAAACAGTCTGGTTAGTAGTTGAAGTTTGAGGAGAAGATCTAAAGCCATACCTCAAGTACATTTTATTTAGCAAATACCGGAAATGGGAACAAACCAATTAAAATAAAAGCACAACCCCACAAAGTCAGCCAGCAACAATAGTCCAACGTAAACTATAAATAATCAAAGAATAAACTAATTAGCATACCATACTCAACAGTAAAACAGAATAACTGAATATGGTAGCTTCATTGTAAGTTATTGCAGTCACTCTTATGCTGGAGTTTGTTCTGTTAAAAATCTGTTAAAATATTATGATGATACACACGTCTGGACTTAAGATATATTAAAGATATAGATTTGACTGAGGTATTGAAAACTTTAACATTTAAGAACATAAGTGCTGCTCCTTTAACATCAAGAAATACTTAAATATAAAGATTAAAATATATCAAACAAATGAGCAATACAAAATAAATAAAATGCACAACGAAAGGCATTGGTAAGAAATGAATGGATCAAAGACAAATTGTGAAACAAAAACAGTAAGTGGGAGGGTGATAAAAAACTTGTAGCCTGAATGCGTCCTTCTTTACGTCATCAATATATGGCCACTGAGTATCAATTTTCATCAAGGTAACGAAAACAATAAATCCACTTCTTTCCTCGAAGGCTTCTACTTGTAAAATTAAAAGGACCAAGTTATCTGAACATGACAGAACATTTACAATCTCGGTCCAGATGAGTTAATTTGCTATACACAATATAGTCATTTTTCTGAACTGATAATGATCTATGTATTTTTATTAGTTTTTTTAAAATACAATTAAAATTTTCTCCCAGTCCGCTTTGTTGTTTGTTCACACGGCTTTTATTGTGGACTAAACAGGAAGTGACGTATATTTATTTAGTTCAGCTTGATGCCGGTGCGTGCCGGATGCCTATGCGGATCTTCACACTTCCAGAAGTTGTGACGAGTCTAAGGTACTTAAGCTGCCGTTTCTATCAGATTGATTTTTCTGTGAACTTTAGATAAACCTTAGATGTATAATCAATCACGAACAGAAGATAACTCAGTGACTTGGTGGAGCTACTCTGCTTATTAGCCCTGAACTCGTTTGCTCAATAGTTGCTGCAGCAATTAGCTTAGCTTTTAGGGCTTTTAACACTGCGAAGGAAGGCTCAACATTAGAGAAAATTAGCGTTCAACTCCAAGGATAACCTACAGGGCTTTTGCAGAGGTGAATATTTGAATTGATAAATTATGTTTATAAGTATGTATCTACAGTGTTATCTTCAACTATTGCATGTTACATAATTAAAAAAAAAATTTGTAGTATTGGTCTGTCTTGAAAGCTCAATGAAAGAATTTTAAAGGATATTACTTATATCTGATATTGGATCGTTTTTATTATGGTTGGTTTGTTTATATTGACCACATTTTCCCTAAAAGATTAAACATGGAGGGTGTGTTACCATTGTTGTTCTCTTGTGGTCATAAAAATAGTCAAATAGGCCGGATGGCTTGGGCTGTCTGAATTAACTGCCCGCTTTGTGCCTTTTTTCCCTGTTGCAGGTCATTCTGGTTGTTCAGGGTGGTGTGGTGATGGGGTACAGGGTGGTTCCCAGCATCCAGGGCATGTGGCTCACGCTGCCCCTGCTGCTCCTGGTCTTCCCGCTGGCCGTGGTGAGGGCTGAGGAGACGGACTACTACAACTTGCTGGGCATCAGCAGGGAGGCAACAACAAGAGAAATAAGACAGGCTTTTAAAAAGCTGGCGCTCACCATGCACCCTGACAAAAATCCAGTGAGTAACCCCTTTAAAAAGAGTCGGATATGTTAACGGAAACCCTGATTTACCACCCAAAATACATTATTTAAAAAAACTGATGCAGATAATGTATGTTCTAGGGAGATCCTTCTGCTCACGATAGGTTTCTGAAAGTGAACCGAGCCTATGAGGTCCTGAAAGATGAAGATCTGAGAAAAAAATATGATAAGTATGGAGAAAAGGGATTAGATGAACAGCAGGGGGGACGTTATGAAAGCTGGAACTACTACCGATATGACTTTGGTAAGAATCCACTATGATTGTTCTGTAACAAAGTAATCAGTGTCTCCGATTATTCAATGTTTCAATCCTTTTCTATACAGGTATCTATGATGATGACTTGGAGATCATCACATTAGACAGTGGAGACTTTGGTGAGATTTTTTAGAAATGATGCACTGATATGCACTTGCAAGATGTGTTAAGAGTTTGTTGAAATGAAAAGAGTGTTGGCTAAGACGCTGACGTGTGTATATCCGCATGTATGTGTGTGTGCTCCAGAAGCTGCCGTGAACTCTGGAGAAATCTGGTTTGTGAACTTCTATTTCCCACGATGTTCGCACTGTCACCAGCTGGCTCCAACGGTAATAAACCCCTAAGTACACACATGCACTTGACACACAAAATGCAATAAGATCTCATAAAAAAAACTCACCTCTCCAACTAAAACACAGAAAGGGTTTATAGTTGGATTTCAAAGCTTAACAAGCCCCACCTTCTGTGTGTGTCTTCATATCCAACCTGCTGGTGTCTCAGTGGAGGGAATTTGCCAAAGAGATGGACGGAGTGATCCGGATTGGAGCGGTTAACTGTGGAGACAACAACCACCTCTGCAGGAGGAAAGGAATCAACAGCTATCCCAGCCTGTATATTTACAAATCAGGACAGGTCAGTATTCACTTCTTTAAACCCCTCCGAGCAATTACAACTAGATAGCAAACTAGCTGCACTGGTTGGGGATATTTAGCTAGAGTGAAAACCAGCCCTAACCCTAACCCTAACCCTCAATTATTGTTTGTGTTACTGCAGAGGCCAGAGAAGTTCAACGGGGAACGCAACAAAGACGACCTGGTCCGGTTTGCCATGCAGTTCATTACTACAACCGTCACTCAGCTATGGCAAGGTGAGCTCGCCGATTCCAAGAGCAGAAAAAGCGTTTTCCCTCTTTAAATCGCACGTTTAATGTGCATAACTTACTATATGAGGCTCAGAAGGGTAGCTCAGTGCGATTAATTGGCTGTTTTACTGTTTAAGGTTTCCCCAACAAATGATTTATTCCCATTCAACGTGTTTTAGGTAACGTGTTCAACGAGATAGAGAGTGTGTTCTCCTCCGGGCTGGGCTGGCTGATCACCTTCTGCTCCGACACCGGAGGTAACAACCCGCTGAGCGTTAAACCCCACAGCGCGTGTGTGTGTGCTGTCTGTAACAAGCTCACACACAGACACACACGAGCTCAGACATCCGGATGCATGGAGCACAGAGGAAGGAGTGAACTGCTCTCCTAAACCTCCTCACATGTCTTTATTGGTCTCTTTTAGATTGCCTGGAGCCCAGAACAAGACAAAAACTGGCAGGGATGCTGGTAAGACATGTTTCTGAGGTCCTTTCCCACCTTTTAAAATAATATTGGTAACTGATCCCTATCAACATGTTGATAGAGTAATCTTGTTGGGGGGTATCTTGTCCTAACACGATGACTGCTATGTGCCTTCATGTAGGACGGTCTGGTTAAGGTGGGATGGATGGACTGCACTGTGGATCAACACCTCTGTGACAGTTTCCAGGTAAGGCTGTAAAACGTAATGAAATCATTCAAATAGAGATAATAAAGATGCTCCGTAACAGTAGATGTTGTGTCAGCAGTTGGTATTTAAACCGTCCTCTTGTTTTTCAGGTGACCAGCGGATCAACTGCTTTATTCCCTCCTGGAAGTGCTTTAGACCAGGAAGGCAGCGTACTGGTAGGACAAATTTCATTTTGCGTAGAAAGTGAAATAGCTAAATATCTAAATACCGCTAATGCTGTCAAGCACTGCGCTCCTGATTCAGTCTTCGTGTCTCCCAGTGGCTGAAGACTCTGGACAGTAAGGAGATTTACAATCAGGCCATGAACCATCTGCCAGAGCTGGAGCTGCTGACCGTCGACACTTTCCAGGTACCCCAAACGCACAGACAAATCGAAAACACAACGTTCAGGTTTGAGATATGAGATATGCAGATTTCTAACGCTTGTATTTTTCCGTAAAACGTGAACTCCATATTTATCAGGCCAAACCACATAGTGCAATACCATATCACTGGTCAATCTTTTCTTAGGGGTCTTTATTTTCACGTTGTATTTATATTCTTATTTTTTGCTTAATATAGGGGCTTTTATTTTTTACTTTCTATTTATATTCTTATTTTTTGGGGCTATTCACAGTTAGTGTGTACGTGTACTTAATCTGTTTTTTTTTGTTTTTTTTTGCATTTTGCTCTCTGTGTGCCACTTTTTCCGCCCTGTAAGCTGCTTGTAACTTTAATTTCCTGTGGGAGTCTTCCCAAGGGATCAATAAAGTACAAGTCTAAGTCTAAGTCTGTTTAAGTCTGATGATAAGATACGGTTGCCCGCAGAAAAAACTGGCCCGTCATCGCTGGTTGGTGAGTTTTACGTTTGGGGGCCGAACTTCCGCGGAGTACAAGAAGCTGCGAGCGTTTCTACGAAACGACCACATCCAGGTAACAGTCCATCTCTTTGTCCATCTGCGCATCTCCGCCTGGGCTCTGTGTCCGAACGACGGTCATCTGAGCTGCTGTGTGATTCTCCAGGTTGGCCGAGTGGACTGCACAGGCGACCCGGAGCTCTGCCAGTCTCTTTACATCCATAAACCCTGTGTGGCCGTCTTCAAAGGACTGGGGATCCACGACTTCGAGATCCATCACGGTCAGTACGTCCCCGGGACCTTCTGTGTATTCTTCTGTGTTCTGCTTCTTTGATTTTAGTTAATCTACTTCCATCACAACTGAAGATACACGATACAATTCTCATATTTACACAGATTGCTAGCAGAGAATACAGGAAAACGTGATCTATTTTATCGTAAATAATCCTTCCTGATCAGTTCCATTTTTGTGTGGCCGTGTGTCTTTGTGTAGGTAAAGATGTGTTGTACAACATTGTGGGTTTTGCACGGGACAGCGTTGGCGCCCACGTGACGACTCTGAGGCCGGACAACTTTCCCTCGGACAGAAAGGAGCCGTGGCTGGTGGACTTCTTCGCTCCGGTCCGTCCCTTATTGCTCGAATCCGTCACAAACGCCCACACGCGCACAAGCTTCACCCTCTCAGAGAAGCACTGTTACACAAATATTTGTACTCCAACAACTCGGTTTGAGTTTAAGTATTGTCCACGTGGGTTTTTAGAGCTTGTGCAGTGTGAGATGTTCAAAGACCGTCGTTATCACCGCTGTGAAAGCAAAGAACTTTCAGGGTGGTTTTGTTTTCATGAGCCAGAACCAAAATGTCTCATCAAAACTCGACTTTTAAATCTTTGAAAACGCATAGGTCCCAGCCAAAATCAAAATGGACTTCTTGAAAAGCAGGCAAATATACAGACAATGCGGTTGGACATCAGTCCTTCACAAAGTTACACCTTTTCCATAAAAAAAAAAAAATTTAACCGTAAAGTTTAGATGATACCACATATTCATAAATCCGGCTGCTTTTTTTCAGACATTTTTCCACGTCCTAAATTGTACTAAATATGACTAAATATGACCTCAGTGTTTTTTTTTCCTATCAGCCTCTGTTTACCTTCTGGGCTGGTGGTGATGCTACACCAACAACACAAACACTGAGCCAGAAGAGCATACATGACATCACCGTTTTCACACAAAACATGCTGATGTGGCACATTCTCATGAGGTTTATGTAAATGTGGACATGTTTAGTTTCAGTTTGGGGTGGTTTAAATTTCACCTTTTACATGTTTTACTGTAAACCATACCCCAACTTACCACTCATGGATAAGTTGACCATTACTTAGGAATCAAGCAGGTGAATTGAGGGTTTGGGAAGTATAGAGCTGACTCTGCATTAAAAGCAAATCCAGTTTTTTTAATTCATTTTTGTTCTTAATGTATTCTTCATTCTTGTGAGCAGTGGTGTCCTCCATGTCGAGCTTTACTGCCCGAGCTCCGAAAAGCTTCAATCCAACTGGCCGGACAGATGAAGTTCGGCACCCTGGACTGTACCGTCCACCACAACCTCTGCTCCATGGTCAGTTCAGACACGCCCGCGCGGTACCGTTTATCACGGGCCGCAGACAGTGTGCTGGACAGGCCGCTCATGTCCGCTTCTCTTTGGGTCACAGTACAATATTCAGGCCTACCCCACCACGGTGGTCTTCAACGGTTCCTCTGTTCACGAGTACGAAGGACACCACTCAGCAGATGGCATCCTGGAGTTCATACAGGTCAGGCAGGTTGATTTAATTTGTTTGTTTTGTTTTTGGCTTCTGTTCTCTTCTCAAGGGCTCTTGCAGCCATTTTTTTTAAATTGCATGAAAACTACGAGGTGTTCAGAGTGAGCTTCTGTCTGTCTCTGCAGGATCTGGTAAATCCGTCCGTGGTGGTCCTGGATCCCTCCAGTTTCACAGAGAGAGTGAAAGGTAAAATGTGTCCCGATGTGGACTGGATCCGCAAGAGGAAACGGATCCAGGATGTTCTTCTGAAACCAGATTTTTTTTATTCGCAAAATACCATTTGAAAGTCCAGTATTTTTACGTCACGGCCGTATCCGACGGCCGGTTCTTCTCATAAAAGCTTCATCTGAATGTTAATCTTTGTAGTTCAGGTCTCAGGACTTTACAGAGACATTAATGGACCTTCACGGAGGTCTTCATGGCGCCTGTAAAACCCAGAGATGTCACGGGCTCGTTGTCTCCGCTGCAGGTCGAGGCGGGGGGCAGATCTGGGCGGTGGACTTCTACGCCCCCTGGTGCGGTCCCTGTCAGGCTCTGCTGCCCGAGTGGAGACGCATGGCCCGGGTATTACACACACACACACACACACACACACACACACACCGTGCACCAGACCCACTTCACACAGGCGGCAACTCACACAGACTCAGAAGCGCCGATTTAGAAATGAGATCCACCACAGGACCTGAATCTTTTCGTGTCTCCCGTCTCAGCTGCTGTCGGGTCAGATCCTGGTGGGCTCAGTGGACTGTCAGCGCTTCCAGACCTTCTGCCAGAGCCAGGGCGTGAGGGCGTACCCCGAAATCCGCCTCTACCCCGGCAACGCCCGGCAGCCGGAGCGCTACACGTGCGTACGGGGACCCGGGCGGCTGACCCACGCAGATCTGAATGCATGAAAACAGCCTGAATCGATTTTTAGGAAGCATTTGCCCGCTCAGGATGAGTCATTTTTCAGATCGGTGTGTGTTTCTGCAGGACTTACAATGGCTGGAACAGAGATTCTCATTCACTGAGAACGTGGGCGCTCAGGTGAGACGCCTTTTGCCCTCTTTAAGTCTGTTTATCCTTCATTCTTCCCTCCTTTCTTCCTGCTGACCTGCCTGTTTCCTTATCGTCATTCTTTACTCTCTTTTTGTTCCCATATCTTATTTATTTTTTACCTCGCCACTTTCTGTTTTCTTTCTTTACTTTTTCTCTTGATGCCTTTTTATTCTTTAATTTCCCTTTTCCTTCTTCCTATCTCTCCATGCATCATTCTTCTTCTTCTATCATTTCTATCTACCCTATCTCTTTATTGTTTTTATTCCTTCCCTCTTGTCCTCTTTCCTTCTTCCACTGTTTTCTTTTATTATTTTTTCCCGTTCTGTCCGGACGTTTTGTCTGATGAATCGTAGCTGATTTAAATGCTTTTTTTGCAGCTCCTTACCCAGAGCCTCGGTGGATCTGACCCCAGAGACCTTCAGATCTCAGGTTCTGTCCGGCCGGGACCACTGGGTCCTGGACTTCTACGCGCCCTGGTGCGGGCCGTGTCAGCACTTTGCCCCAGAGTTTGAGGTCCTGGCTCGGGTGAGCCACTCGTCTTGCTGACAGTGTTTCTTCTGTTTTCGTTGCTGAGGCTTTTTTTTGCAGGGATACCATGATATTCTCTGTGTGTTTTAAAGCTGCTCAAAGGGGAGATTCGGGCAGGGAAAGTGGACTGCCAGGCTCATTATCAGACCTGTCAGGCAGCAGGAATCACCGCCTACCCAACCGTCAGATTTTACCCATACCTGGGAACAAAAAGGGTGAGCACACTCACAAACACACGGACTCCCCACAGACGCCTCGGGGGATGGCATGAATCAGCAGAGGAGAGATATAATACGAGATTGTAAAATATTTAAAATAATATTAAAATAAGAAATGCATTTATGCGTAAAAATGTGACAGAAGATGAGTTGTGTGATGTGTGTGTGTGTGTTGTGACAGTATGAACACAGCGGAGAGCACATCAACAGCCGGGATGCTAATACCATTGCTGACATCACCAGACAGCGACTAATACAGCTGTTGCCACGGTTACAGAACACACCAAAGGTAACTGTCTTCTCAGCTGAAGTTCAAACCGAACCCGACGCCAATCTGAGGTTTTTCTTTTGATGGATTGATTGTTTGTTTTTGTAGGATGAGCTCTGATGGAATAGGGAACAAGTGGCCAGCAGTCTGATTGGTCAGAGTGGGGACATGAGTGGATTCAACTGGTCCAAGTAAACACTCCTTTATGAGACAGTAACCGGCCATGTTCCTGAACAGACTGAATCCATCTGCCTTGATTTTTATTTGGTTTTATTCGGTCTCCATTGTTTGTATTTACTCTATGAAGTAAAACTGTGGGACACTGTATGTTACTGACACACACACACACACACACACACTCTTGTACACTGAACCAAATGATAACACAGTGCTGTATTTTATTCTTCATGTCGAAATTGTTTCAGAATAAAACTGTAACTGTTCATGTGTTTTTAAACAATTCCTCTTATTTTTACTCTCTTGGGCATTTTGTCTGTAAACTCTTGGATGGGGGGGGGATGATGTATCTGTACTCTGTAGTTTTATGATAGTATATGAAATTACTGATCTTTAGATTCCAGCATTAGACAAATTAAGATTATCATGTGTCCACTGGCCGCACATCATTCACATAAATCCCATTTCACTGGGATTGCTGGTAAGTAAAAAGGAAAAATGTACACTTTTGTCTTTGTTCAAACCAGCTAATACAGCATTTATTATAGTGAATTCTAACGTTCAAGAAACCTTCACATTATATTGAACCATATTAATTCATAGCTGGACGCAGACTAATTTACTTCTAACTGACCAAACAAATTAAATGTCACGGCTAATTTATCAGTATATCTACCGGCAGGGTTTAACTCAGAAGTCAACATTTCTGATGCTGTCCTCCATTTGAAATGGTAATGCTATGTGCATTTTCCTAAATAGATGCATTAGTAACTTTTGATATTAGTATTAGACTTTTTATGTTCAGATTCCTGTGATAAATAACCATTAACATGTCAGAAAGCAGCTTTAGCTGGCTCAGGCATGCTTGATGTGTTGTGTGTTTGCAGTAAAACCAGGAGGTGCTGCTGTTACTCTTCTGTGTTGTTTCTTTACTTGGAAAGTGGTCTGTGGCTCTGAGAGCTGTACTGTAATGACAGCAGAAATGGCTTGTAGTATATTTCTGAAATAAGTCTAAAAATTTGGCAGGCTATCTGTGGAAAATAGGTCTGAACTGTCAGAAATAAACAAAAAAAAGGTCTAATTTCAAGCCACAAATAAACTGAAAAGAGTGTGTCATACATCTTTATATATGATGGTGTTCTCCCCTTCTGACTTATTACTGAACAGAAACTATAAAATATTCCCAAAATTTGACAGCACCATCTTGGTTTTTGTTTTAGAGAAGGAAGTAATGAAAATGAATTATTTTGGATGCTTAACACTTGTTTGGAAAAAAACATAAATCTGAAATTATTAGAGAAAATAAACAACAAAGTTTTCTTTTTTATCCACCACCCAGTGGTTGTTAGTAGTTTTGTAATTTATAGCATGTGACTGATATATATATATTTTATTGACATTCTCCATCAATGTCAGCTGATGACTGATGGGGTTGTCTTTATTTTAGAAATTTAAAGTAACACAAAAGTATTGTTTCGCTCTTTGTTGCCCCCTACAGTTGCAAACACAAACGTTACACAAACGCATGGTGCCGTGAGCCTTGCACAAACATACAGGGAAATTTGTTGGCATGTTGAAAAGGGCACAGAGACTAAAAAACCACAAAGATACCAAACAACCGTAACGCAAAGCGTTGTCTTGTGGTACTGAAACACAAATCATACAAGGTGGTATTTCAGCCACTTGGAGCTTGGCGTTTGTGACAGGCCCAGGAATGTTGAAGACAGATGTTTTCAGGTGAAATAACCATATTCCAGCCAAACATAACAATAATAAAGTAAAAAGTAAGCCATTATAACACTGAACGGGGAAATCCACATGTACCGGATTAGATTCAGCCTACAGTTTCTAACTATATTTCTCTATTAATACAAGGAATGCATGCAAACAATATGAAAACCAACCATCAGACAAATATTGAAGTAATCAAATTGAAAGTCTCAGAAAGCTGATATGCTTCCTGGAAAGAGCACAACTTCTAATGTTCTTTTGTACTGCAATTAACTAAATGACCGAAGGTACTTTCCACTTGAGTATTGTTAGACCAGGGCTTCTCCCTCTGTTTTGTGGGCAGTCGGAGGTCAGCATTGACGCAGCACTGCTCCATAAACCACTGGAACCACTTACTGTGTGTGCGTTCTATTGTTTCATGATGTGAAATGGAGCAGCAAGTTGGACAAACTCTGGCTGAGGTACTGTGGGAACCAACCTGTTAGTCCTGGGTGTGTTTGGAGGATGAAGTCAGAATAAATCACTTTTTGTGTCGCATGGTTGGAGATTTGGCTGTTTGTGTTCAGGTTACAGAGTGGTGCTTCCTGGGACTCTGTGCTCTGGTTAACACATGCTGACTTTTACATGGCTGATGACAGTGATTTACACTCAAGAGACCCGTGTGTGTTTTAACCATTTAGTTGAATATCAATGGCAGAAGAGTTATTTTTCCATTGCAAAACTGATGCATATTCTATCATGCATAATTACTTATGCATAGTTATATGAAACAAAATTGTTAAAATCGTTGGCAGACACCGGACTAAATCATGGACAAATGCACATGAAAACCCCCCCCAAACAAACTGGACCAAATTCAAGGCTAAACTCAAGAATATGTGGGATCTCACAATGTCCAAAGAATTTGAGACCACAAAGGTTTAAATATCAGAAAAAGATTGGACACAATAAATCTACAAATCAGCCTGAAAGGAAAGAACATTTTGACACAGACAATACTGGAACTGAAACCAAGGCCAGTAAAGAACTTATGGAAACTAGGCTTAATCTACTAAAGTAAAGACAAATTAGAGACGAAACATTAGCAAAACTGAAATACACAACAGAGAACCTTCACTTATGGTTGTGCCTGTCCTATAGGACCAAACCTAAAGAAATACAAAAAATAAACAAAAAAACTTGAGAAAATACAGGCGCAAACCAGGGCTAAACAACCAGGAACACAAGGGGCTGTAACTTTCGAGAATGTTGCGTGAGAAAAGCAGATTTGTCTCAAAGTAAACAGCAAGATTAAAACACGAGTGGAACTTTGACTGAAAATTTGACTTGACATCAGACGCAACCAGAGTCTAAAACACCAACGAACACTGGAAGTAAACTGTCACAAAATATGAGATCAGGCAGGATTTGAAAAATAACCAAATATTGGACGAAACTAAACATGGCCGACCTTTTGAGAGTGTCATAAGAGACAAAGATTTGAACCAAAAAAGGCAAAATCAACAAGAGCTATCAGTCCAAACAGGTTCTGAGTGTTTTTGTTCATGTAGTTGTTGAGATTCTTTCGACTTGTATGTTCCTTTCTGCCATCTGGTGTAAAAAAATAATTGAAATCAGCTTTAACTGGTTTCTCCCCCCGGCACAAAAATATTCAGCGTGTGACCGTTTGCCGCGTCAGCACTCTGCGATGTGAATGGAGCGACTCAGCCTCCAGAAACAGACGACCCTCTCCCGACGCCAGGTGTGTTTTCAGTCAGCTGAGGGAGAGGAGAGCAGCGGAGGAGGATGAGGAGGTGTAAGAGCAGAAAATCCACGAAAACATTTTCTCTTCCTTCACATGGAAACTGCAGCTGAGAAAACACTGCTGGAAACCAGTAGGCAGGAAACACTGGAAGCACGCCTACACACACACACACACACACACACACGCACGCACACACTTACACACACACACTGGATGGTTGTGCTTCATGCTGCTGCTTTGTTTTGCTAAACAAACTTTACTCCCATTGGTTAGATGAACTCTTCCGTTTTTATTCCTGTGCCTTTATGGTACAGAAGTGCAAAAAAGATGAAAATCAAAATGGTTACGTGTAGTTAAACCTTTCTTTTTTTTTTGGTTAATGGCGTTCACCAGGACAAACCAAAAAGCAGCAAAGCAGAAACTGTCTCATGGAAATCCATAAAACTGTCAAGAAATGTGATCTACTGATCTGTGAATGGGAGCCTTTTTCTGTTTTATGTATGCGAACATGGAAATAAGTTCATATGGGAATACAGCCTCCTCACGTTTCCTGAAAATGTCAGAGACTGAGTGATCACCAGTATTTTGGATGGCTTTAAAAGGCTTTCTTGGAACTTGCTAAATTTGTTTTCATTCATTTATTTTCTTGGAGATCTTGGTCTACACAAGGCCTGATAAGTATAAGTTGGGATTTGTGTGTTTCTTAACTCCAAAACAGATATTTTACAGGTTTCTGTGCATAGATACTTTATGATTGTGTTGTTTAATCTTGCAGGAATGGCCCTTAAATGACATTCCAGAAAAAAAAAAAAAAAGGTTTTGGAAAACCTTAAAAACTCCACATCATGATCCTGTCACATAGATCTTAAACATTAAAGAAAAATCTGTCTTGTCAGAAACCAAAGTTCAAGTAAAACATCTAATTCTTATTGAAACATGGTTCGGCAATCTGTTTGTAACTGTTTCAGAGGCAGTGGACTTAATCTGATTGGCTGATTGGTGCTCATCTGTTTAAGCCTGTGACTTATAAACAACTGGATCTGACATCGTCCCATAAGGTTTTAAAATCAACCAAATAAGAAAGAAATTTAGATTGTATGTCAATACAGAGAGAGATTAATGGCATGATTCCTTCTTCTCTGACATCAGCATCATCTGGCCGGACATTATGTTGCTTGACCCTTGTGTTTTCACACTGTATATCAATTATAAGAAGGGATTTTATGACGAGGTTTCAGCATAAATGTAAAGACTCCAACAGGAATCAAAGCTATTGTATCTGATTAACATTTACAGGCACGTTCATTAAGCAGAAAACAGAACCCACAAAGACAGAATGACAGAAGAGTTTTTATTTAAGTGAACAAATGTTTTCCTCCTCTTCACATCTGGCTTTCATAACAGCTGGAATTATTTGAAGACTTCCCCAATGAAAAACAATATCCTTCATCAATCAGGTTCCAACTTTCTTATAAAGCAGTTATAAAGGTCAGCTTCTCAGGATGGAGCCCCGTCATGGACCATTTTCTTCAGTTTCCAACAAAGATTTTTTACTCGGACTGACATCTGGACTGTGGGCTGGCCGTGTCATTGAGTCGATTTGTCTCTCCTGAAAAAAGACGGTTTGAACAATCCATCATTCTGAAAAATGACCCCAGCATCACCAAACATACCTCTGATTGATGGAATGAGAAAAGGCAGAACACCTGGGCACATGCTGGAGAGGCAGTGGATACTTCCTGGTTCTTCATGCAGCATCAGACTCATGTCACCAGTGATTATGGACTTTTTATTGTTATTTTCAAAAGTCTGTCTGCTCATCGTCACGTTCAAAATGATTCATTTCAATAATATGCAGTCCACAACAGCTTCTTCTCAGCTTGTTTTCTTTTTGTATGATGTTTCTGATGTTTTTTGTTTTGCATCTATGCCTGGAAATCCCATTTCCTTAATCCAGTTTCTTATAGTTTGCTCAATAGCATTGAAACATTTAATTTTCTTATTCATTGTTTTCTTTATTCGGAAATCTTGGCATGTGTTTTGGCAGACCTGCAGGTTTTCCCTTTGCATTCTTTCCATTTAGTTTGTATTTACTCTAGATTTTTCACAAGGGCTGTAAATGTTCACCGTTGCCCCTGAATTGCCCCATGAATGCAATCTACATGGCGGTTAAATATTTAGTTCTCTACTTCATGTGTTAAAAAAATGTTTACGAATTACAACAATATCTATTTTCATATGTACTGAGCAGAAATACTGAGTTGAAATGTAAGATACATAATACTGAATCAAATCTAAGATTACTTTGGGAAACTAAACCATCTGAATGAAATTCCAGGAGTGGAGTGTCTACATTTTTGCCGGTTGAAGTGCAAACAAAGGGGCGGCTGCTCAGTCCAAGCGCCACAAAATACAAATAAGCATTTGGACATTTAACCTACTAATTTCTTAGGGAAAAATACGCGTAAAAGTGATTTCCGACTGACGTAAAACAGTCCAACGCGGTCTGAACTGACAGGAAGAAGCTGAGACGGATGCACCACAGTCTGAAAAGTTTGTCTTTGGTTTATTGTTAAACTCAGAAAACAAGTTGATGCCGCCGTTATGGTCTGTGCAGTAAGAAAAATGCAAACTGTTGACAGTCACTGAAGCAGAAAACACAGTCTGAAGTTCATCCGTTGCAGAGATTTGAAAGCAAAAGAAAGGGACACACAATGAAGAAATATCCATGCATGTCTTGAAATGGTACATTTACACTTTCTCTTCCACGTTTAAAAGGGCTGAATTGTGTGCTGCAGTTTAAAGACGCACTTGTGAAAATACAAAGGTTTAAAATGGTTGATATTCAGCACTCTACGTTCGCATTCACGCTTTGTGAAACGTAATCAAGCCGGAAACAATAAAGTACATTAATTCAAAGAGACACAGAGTATAGATGAGTAGGAGTTGTGTAAAACAGATGGACGTTTTTGTAGATAGACACCAACAACTGAAACATTCTCTGCTTTACTTTCCATTTGAAATTGGACGTTCTGGCCACCGGGCTGGATTGACCTGACTGAAACCGGGCTATGGATTCACTTTGAGAAGCTCCATGGATGGACTCCAACAGCTCTCTGTGCTTCTTTGTGTCATTCTTATCCTTCTGTTCCCTCAGAGACATCGTTTTGTCTCGTCGTCGTCAGCTTGAGTCTCCTTTGCTGTTTTTCCTTTTCTGTCTTGTTCCCCTTTTTCAGTCACATTGCGTCTTTCAATTGACTTTTTGTCTTTATTATATGTTCCATCTTCTGTCTTAAAAAGTTGTTTTGTGTCTACGAAGTCATTTAGATCATTTTTGTGTCCTTTTGGTAACTGTTTGTGAGTATATAGATATTTTTGTCGTCAGTGAATTTTAGGCTATTCGTACTTGTAAATGTAAATGTAGCTCTGTCCGTTTTTCTCTACTCTTACAGATGCAGATATATTTTCGCAGTAATTCTGTTTGTCTGTAGTTTTTTAAAATGTTTTTCTATTAAATTTGAATTGCTGCTGTGGAAGTTCGTTTACCTTCATCTAGCAGATTATAAGTTTAACTTTTCAGCTCCTTCTTGACATTTTACACATCTCTTTATATATCTTATGATTCTTTCTGGCTCACCTGTAAATGTTAATGTCTTTGTCTCGGTATGCGTGTATTTGTGTCGACTTTCAGTTTCTCTTTCTTTAAATTTTCTTTTCATGGCCGTTTGGTAGGTATGTTTCTAAAACCATTGGGTGTGCTTTGGAAGCAGTTTAGCATCTCTTTGAAATTTAGAGCAATTCTTGCAGAGTTCGGGTTTCGCCCAGGAATCCATCACGCCTTTGCATCACCCAACTGTCCTCCATCCCATCACTGTGCTAACATGACCAACATCCAGGGTTATTTAAAAACCGGACCCACACAGAGGAACAGTGCAGCCAACATGGCATCCAAAATTAATTTGGTTCCCGTAAAAAAAAAAAGAAAAAAAAGAAGAGAAAAAAGTGTCAGTTACCATTTGGCTGTGCGTAGATTTAAGACAACAGCTTTAAAGCTTCACCACCTTATTGGTCTTCAGCAAGCGTTTGAAGTGTACGCGGATACACACGCACACAAAGACTCACAATGACACGCTAAATAATGTTTGTGCAAAGGAAATAAATGGCATAAAAACAAACAAACAAACAACAAAAACTGAATCCAAACCGTCTGATAGATGAAGAGATGAACTACATTCAGCTACAACAGCCTGTGATAGTGCAATATCTACACAAACACAAACACGCTCACGCAGGCACACACACTTGCCACGCACACACACAAACACACGGACAGAGTTGGATCTCAGTGGCGGTTCCGGCGGGAAGCTGTCCGGCCTCTCCCCTGCAGAATCTGATCCCATCTCTGAACAGAAGGACACACAGACAGTGAAACTGTGAATTTTCCACCAAATTAATTAGAAAAGAAGCTGTAGAACCGTAAATGCTTCTTCTTCCCACTTTCCCAACATTTAAACATTATTAGGTCTTAATGGTGGATGTTTGGAGAGGATATAATGTTAAGTGTTCTCAGTGTGCAAAAACCTTTCTGAGGGTGTTGTTTGCTGCTAAGGAAATTAGCTAAAAGCAGGTAGAAGTAACTGAAAAGTGCAGAAATCAGACTTGAAATCACACCCTGCTGCGGACGGATATTTTCTTACACACCTTGACCTTCTTGCCCATTTTATCCTTCCATTTCTGAGCAATGGAGCCGTCAATCAGGAGCAATCTGCAACCACAAGTGCAAAATCAGTTTGATTCGCTGTTTGTTTCTCAACATTTATATATATATATATATATATATTGATATTTATATAAATATTCGATAAAATATCGAATTGAGATAACACTGTAATCTTTACAGTGCTCTAAGGCTCACACATAAAGAAGGATACATTTAAAGGAACATAAAGATGGGGCTCTGTTTTAGCTCTTAGTCTGTGGAGAAAAAAAAAACTGAACAAGAGCTAACATACAACCGGTTCCATAACCACACCTAAACCAGCACCTTAAACACTTTGGATAACCAATAGGGGGCAGTTAGAAGTCCTGGGTGGGTTCGTGCATCCACTGTGGCTCATACCTGGACGTCTCCTCGTTCTCATAGCCCATAATGAGGTACTCCTCGCCGAGCGCCAGAGGAGGGCACAGACAAGAGGATGAGTAGTAGAGTGTCTGCGTCTCCTTGGGAATGTTGACCAGAGAGGACTTGAGCACCTCCTTCACGTCCACCACCGCCGTGGGCTCCAGACCGCGATTCCTCACCTCCCTCACCCGCGCCCGGATCACTACAAGAGGGAGTGGTCGGCAAACACTTTTCTTTAGGAAACAGTGACAAGAAAGCCACAAAATGGCTTTACCAGAGCTTAAATCGGTCTTAGATATAATTTCCCAGTCAGGAGGAGAAATGCATGAAACTCCCAGCATGGCCAACAAAATGCCATCAATTCCAGTATTTAGTGAGGTTAACATCATGGAAACCAATCATGACTGAAGTTATGAAGAGAAGATGACTGTAATTCTCTGCCTAAAAGCAACCATTAAAATTGTCACCTGGTCCAGAAAGCTTAAAGAGTTGTTTGGTTGATTTCAAACTCCAGTTTTGTGAGGTTACTCTGGACAATTATCATTCAACCCTGAAGTATTTTCAGGCTGCTGTCCTTGGTGCTGAACAGATCGTTTTTAAATAAAGACACACATGTATAATCAGCAAAAGTTCGCTATCAGATGACATTTGACAAGGTGTCCTGAGTTGGCCAAATGGAAAATGGGATATAAAGAAAGATTTATATCTTTTTTTAATCTCTTAAAACCTGTTCCTCTAAGTATTTAGTCACACCAATATAGTTTGTAACTATAACAGGGTTTCCCAGGGTGAAACTTTCAAACTATTCTGATATTTTCTATGGTGAATATTCATTCAATGTATCTACTTGATTGTTTCTGGCTTAATTGACATTCTTCAAGAAGTCAACAATTTCTGTGTCATCCAGACTTCTGACCGGAAAAAACGTGATGCTGAGATAATGTTTTATGTTCTTAGTGTCATGGCATGGGATATCAAAGGACTCTATTGTAAAATGAAGATCAAAATCCCACTTGAATAAAGTTAGGATGAATCGTTTTTTTTTTAAGTGTTTACAGACATTTAACTCATTTTTTACCCCTAAAGATGCAGAAACTGTGGACTCATCTGACCACAGAGCATGTGTGTGTGTCTGTCTGCCTGAGGTGTGCACGTGTCCGAAGCACTCGGAAATGTTTCTGAGCTGACACGAGGCCTCCTGCTTGTGTAATGCAGTGTCAGGTTTCCTGTCCTGGTGCAGCGGTGGACCATGCTGAGGGAAAATTGTTTTCTTATAGTGTGTTCACATTATACAGTGTGGTTCTGAAAATTTTAATTCCATTTAAATTTAAAAAGACATGTAAACGAAATGTTTTATCTTCAATTTTTTACATTTCAAGCAAAAAAATAAGTATTCCATCCATTCCTGTGTTAGGCTTTTTAGGGTTAATTGTAGGTTTTACCTGACACTAACTGTTCCTTTTTTTGTTTCTAAATCAGCCAAAGTTCAATAAGAGTTGTGCCGAAGCTATTTTGGTGACAAGGCGAACACTGCAGGAAACTCATCCCATGTGCTTAAATAACTCTTTATAGCAGTCGCACAGGGGACTCTGTGTCCTCAGGCATTGGGGAACTATGCTTCGTAGAACTGTACTGTACCATGCAATAGGGAAAAATACACCACCAGGCACCTTAGGGCTCGACCATCATCCGACACGTACAGCCCTTGGCCTTGAGCTTTCCCCCGACTCCCCAAATATTTCCCAATATTAAACTCTGCAGATGTCGAAATACCAAAGTTGCTTAAAAAATATTTGTTCGGCACCTATTGATGACTATCCGACTGCGTTTGGCACGAAGCGGAACACTGCTTTGTGCCAAACGCTGACTACAGGGCCAGTTTTACTCACGCGCTGGCTATTGTGAGAGCTAACTGACACGGCAACTTGAGTCGTTTTTGATGTTTTCAAACCATTTAAGACAGTTTTTTTCCATCTTGGGTTTTGTTGAGTCTGACAAATGCTTGTAGAGTCCGATGTGCCCGCAACAACCTTCTTGTTGTTAAAATCTGCCGATTCCAAGTCACATAAAACCAATTATTCGGGGCTTTGAGTGAGAGTAACAATGAAAGCCATAAATTAGGATGAAGCCAATAGTGACAAAGTGATACTGTGAGGAGTCCTTAAATCTTCACAGAGCTACAGATTGACTTCAAGGAAAGGAGTCGGTGACAAGATAAATTAAAGTAAAATCATGTTGCACATCACTGAGTGAAAAATGGAAAAGCTCACCATAGTTGTAGTTGTTCTTCAGGTAGGTTTTCTGACCCATTCGGACAGTCTTGCATTTGCAGCGATCTACACACACAATAACAGACTAAAGTTATCATTAAAAAAAAAAAAAAGAAAGCTGGTCCAAAGAGCGACTGAGGTCAGGCTCCAGGTCCTAAACAAACACAATTTTGAGGATGTGAGAGTTTCACAATGTTTTCTTTTGAGCTTTAAAGTCTGTGCAAGAATTTTGAGTGAGCGGAGAGGCCCCGTGGAGCCGTTCCAAGACGCTTTCTGCCCGGGACACTTCAATATTTTCAAATGCTCTGCTAAAAACCTCCCTGTGCCAAGTATTAAGATGAAATGTAAGGGAAGAAAGACAAACCTCCATTTGGTCCCCTGCAGTGGAGGTTGTTGGAGTCCATTGGAAAGTCAGGATTAGACTCTGTTAACGAAGAGAAGATTAGGCTTTTAGTAAACTAACATGTAATCACACTCCCCATGTATCAGTGTCAGGAAAACCCTGGGCAGGTTCACGCTAATCATGCTGGACTAAATCAACGCAGGACAAATGAGTCTCGGATGACATCGTTGACGTTCATTCAAAATGCCATGTACTTTTTTTCCCCTTCTAAAATTGACTACAATTTGGGGGAAATCCACACTGGCTGTGGTTCATTCTCTGGCATTTTCATTTCTCGTGTTTTTCAGTTTGGATCTCTGAGAAGAGTCGATATGAATAGCTGACATTTACGGGCGTTCACTGCCAGTACACCGGGAGTGGATTCGGTCCCAAATGACCTGTTTGTCTCTCATAAGTGGAAACTCTGATGTTACATCTGTGTGACATGATGTGACCACATCACCAATATGACTTACATGCGCCATGCCATGGAGAGGAATCTGGTTGGCCCTGAATTTGTTTGTTCATTTCACTTTTAGGTCTTCGGTGTCAGAAAATCAAAAAGTAAAAAAGAAAAGTGAAACAAGAGCTTCGTTTTCTGGGAAAAAAGGGTTTCAGCTGAGCGAGAGTGGAGGGAAAAAGTCTCACCTGGGTTACACCTGGCTGGGTCCTGGTAGTATGGACCTATAGAGACACAATTAAAGTCAGTCACTAAACAGAAAGAAGACATTTTCACACGGGAGGTACTTGATGTTAAAGGAACATACTGATATCGGAGCCACAAAAGCTAAAGTTTAACTTGTGGAAGCTATTTTTCTTATGTCCCGGACCTATTGGAACAACTTCTGTAGAAATAGTCAGTAAGAAAAACAGCCCTGGAACATCCTGATGTGCAAAAATAAAATTTTCAAAAGTCAAATAAGACCTTTCAGTTCACTGCTTTCCAGATTTCAGTTAGATTAGAGCTATTTTTTTAATCAAATACAGCACAATGATCTTTCCTGTACACAGGTATGCAAAGATGACCTCCAACTACTGATCATCTTATTGTTTTGTCAGCAAAGAATCAAAACCGCCTGAAAAACTCCGCCTGCTGCTTTGGATTTCTTTCCCGACGGACCAGAAACGCCAGAACGGCAAAATTCTGACCACAGACCCAGAAAAAGTCACTGGAATGACTTTAGGGATCCACCCTGACTGGACCTCAACAAATCAACAAATCACACCGAGGGAAAATCCCAAAGCCCTGCTGCGCCGGGCCGGGGCGGCTCAGGGATACGTGGGCGTGTCGTTAAGGAGGTCAAGGGGGTTGAGATTAAGCTTTTTTTTGCCGGTCCTGGCCTGTTTGGAGAGGCCGAGGACAGTGAGGGTTTTATTGAGTGTAAAACGAGTGGGCCGCTTGTATCAAGGAGCTCTTTGACAGAGTCAGTGGGAGTGAAATCAGAGGGGAATGACTCATGCTATCTGTTAACGGGGGGGAACAGGGAGAGGGGGAGTTTGAACATGGCGGAAAACACTGACGGAACTCAGCTATGCTGGGTAAACGGAGCATGTCTGTAGTAGAGAGGGAAGAGCCCTTACTCAGAAGTGTTTTAAACCATTTAAAATACTGATATGCTTAGAGGACCACAATCAAGTTTTGGATGTGACATTTTTCAGCTTTTAAAGAAGAAGGCCATAGTTTCTTTGAAGTCCTTCAGCACAGATAAAAGTCTTTTTGTCTAATTTCTTCTTTAAATAAAATTATTTCTCGGCTGTAATTTGAAAGCTTATTGAGGAACATTCGGACACAAGAGTTCTTGCAAAAAAAAGATACCAATGCACCGCCACTGTGTTTGCAGATGGAGATAAGACCTCTTTAATGTTGCAAATTAGGCAAACTTTGCCCCATCAGCTCCCCAATAGGAAATCTGCATGATCTTTGATTGAGCAAATGAGTGCACAGAACTGGTGATCATCCAAAATATTCACCGTTGATGCCTCAAAATCTTACAAACAGAACTATGAAGAGCAACAAAGGGGCAACAGTTTTCCCTTTAAATCAGCATCTGTTTAAAAAGGGTTGCAGACACTGAAATAAATCACCAAATTACCCCTTTAACATTTCAGTTGCCACATTAGGACAAAAGTGGGCGGGTATACCTGGACCTTCGGCCTTCACGATGGCCTCGGGCGAGATGCAGACGCCGCGGTCGTACAGCGGCAGCTCGCTGCAGTCCAGGCTGTCCGGCCAGCTGTGATTGTAGCGCTTCATCACCGGCTCACAGCCGTACTTGGCCCGCTCGCACACGGCCTTGCAGGGCTTGATGGGCTCATGCTGGAAGTCGATAGTGCAGATGGGGGCATACATGGCACAGAGGAAGAAGAGTAAATCCGGACTGCAGCCAGTACCTGGACGGGCGAGAAAAAAAACATAGGTTTGTGTGAAAAAATAGCTTTTCAAAATAAAAAAAATGCTAGCATTTGATATTAATATTTTGTTTGTTTAGATAACAAACAGCTGCATCTCTTATTCTGGTGGTTGATGACGATGCAAGATCATTATAAGATGTATTCTGAGCTTTAGCCACAGAGTCATTAGCACGTTATAAATCTTATGCCAACACAATTTACACCTTTTCTTGGTTAATTTTGGCTCTTTAATATCCTGCAATTTGTTGATAAGAAGAAATATCTGAGCATCTATGACAATACAGATGACCCCCCCAAATAAAAATCCAACCAGGTCTGGATGTCCATCCAAGAAAACCTGGAACTAAATCTGGCTTATCAAACACAAGACAGTTTCAGAGTAGAGGTAGTATAATCCGACGCTTTGAGAAAACATGGATTTCACGTGAACCAGCAGCCAAAATTAAAACAAACATGTTTTGCATTCAGAAGATTTTCAGTGTTTACATGAAATCTAATTTGATTGCCAGAATTCAGAGCCCTGGTATGTTGTCAGCTAAACTGTGCTAATGTTTCACAAAAGGAGCTTCCACTGTAAGACAACAAGAAATGATCCGAACGCGTTAGACTCACAACACTCAACATAAACCAGGCATTCATTGAAAAAAATAAAACTTCAAATGGGCACAGATATCAGATGCCAGTGATATGTTCCTCTCTCACAGTACCATTGAAAAAGAACACGTTTGTACAGTAAAAACTTGTGGAAACATGTTCCAGCACAGAGAGGCTCCCACATCTGTTAAACTTTGTGTGAAAAAAAAAAAAATTAAAGGATGCTTATTCAGTCTCAGCTCAGTTCATTTGAACTTGAGTTGTTGTTTTTTCCCCAGCAGGACTCACTTCTTAGATCAGTCGGGGTACGTTGTGTTCGGGAACGTCTGGCTGACAACACACTGGATGTAAAAACAGGATGGTTAATGTAGCGGCCAAACCACTGCCTGTTTCACACAGGACAAGTACAGAAAGGGTTCACCGGTGGGTAGAGGAAGAAGCGACTTTTTTTTATTGCAGAGCACGGCTGTGGTTTGGCTTCGCAGCTCCACAATGAAGTCACAGAAACATTTTGAACTTGTGACCTGAAACTCCTTCCTGGTTCTTGGCGCGCACGTCTTTCATTAGGACATTTTTTTGGTCAGAGCTTTACAGAGTTCTCACTTTCCCTTTCCACTCCTCCGACCTCAGCTGTGCTTCCAGTTCAGCAAATCGTTTAATGTACACGCGTTTAAATCACGAACCTCATGGCAGTCCATAAGGGTGGTCTGCATGCTTTCAATTTTGGGTCTGCTTCAAATTTAAAGGATATTTTGAAAAGTGTAAATCTCAGAATTTAAAAACAGTGCGGAACGACTGTGACTACAAACTATAAAACCTTCAAATCCCCAAATAAGTTCGAAAAATCTTCTCACATAGCTTTCTTTAAATGACACAGACAGGACTGCAAGCATTTTTTATTAGTTTGGGTGAAATATGGGCAGGTTGTGAGCTGGGCCTGAGTTGGGGCTAAACTCAGGAAGGTGTGTGTCACTGTATCACTACTTGGATTACAGTGAGTTTTGTAAGCTGTTATTTGAGGCCAAGAAGCCAAAAATTCTTTGCTATCTAACTGCTCTGATACACGAAACCAAAGCAAATAACCAAACCCAGATAAAACAATGTTCGGCCCCAACGCGTCCCACATCGGTAATGTTATTTCCCCCACATCTGGCTTCAGATGGGATTGACTCGGGTCCAGTGTGGCTGTCTTGACTTAGCCACATATCCACCAGACATGGTCTAAATCTGCCCTTTCCCTTAGCCTTTGCGGCACACCTGGCCCCTCACAACACTTTCCATAACCCATGTCGAAGCTGGTTGTTGAGACTCAGGCCACATCTGGCTCATAGGACACAGACCATAACTGAGGGGTAAGCCCAGCTCCTGACCTCTGGGCCACGCCTGACCCACTCAGGGTTGGCAATCGCCGTAACGTCAGATGGAGGTCAGCGGGGTTGTGATGATGCCCCTACTGTTAATCTCCTCATGTCACAATGAAAAAACCAAAAACTAAACAAAATATCTAACTCTGTTCAGTGTCATAAAACAATCAGTATTGGAAACAAGTTAATATTTATGGATGAACCAATGAAAGTGGATGGTGACAAAGCTATTCCAAATTTGAATTTCGTTGTTGCGAAAATTCCTCAGAGACCGCAAAATGTGTTTAACATAGTACTGTATATTCTATATACCTGAGTCCAAAACTCAAAGTTTGTGGTGCAAATACAGAGCCGAAGAAAGCAAAACGCCTCCCAGAAGTATGCCAATTTATGACAAATGTCACAGCAATTCATCCATCTTTGCTGGATTGGTGAATTTAACATCAAGATCCTGTTCGTTCTGTTAAAAACAAGCATAAATAGAAGTGGACGGCGCTCCCGTTTGCTCTGCTGGTTCACATTGGCTCACTGGAACGAGACACAAAAAGTCCTGCTCACATGTTAAACAAATTCCGCCAGCAGACTCGGACGGAGTATTTACCGAGCGTGCAGATTTGCAGCGCGGCCCAAATGAATTCGGACTGCAAGGTTTGATATCGGGGGGGGAAATCAGTTTGTTCCAGGTTCAGCCCTCAGGTTGCACGTCAACACCGTGACCGGTTCCAGCTCTGTGCTCGGGATGGAGAAGGACTTAGCTTTTTTTTTTTTAGCCCAGCAGTACTTAAACTGAACCTTTTGTGTACACAGAGATTTCAGTAAAACTAAGCCGAATTTTTCTGGGTTGCTAACAGCTACTAAAGTCCATTCACCTCTCATACACTACACTGAAAAAGAACATCTAAACCTAAATCTCCTCATTTCTTATTATAGAAACTTTGTGGTTGATTTTAGGCTGATTTTAAATGACAGTAAAAACACCTGAAAGGAAAAAAAAGGGGAATAAAGAACAGGAAGACAACCACAAATCACTAAAATCACCTTTAGAAGTAACAAATGAAAAGCCTTGAATTAAATGGAGGGACTTTTTGCTGGTGGTTGAAATGTATAACAAAGCAAGATGTATCTGCTGTTGTGTTGATGCTTTATTTACCCCGTTTGGAAAAGGGAATGCATGTCAGAAGGAAGTTCTGGTGGTCTTAATTTTGGTCCTGTTCACATTCTTTACCATCAGCTGCTTGGAGAATGAGATGATTGTTAATATCAAAAATAGCTCTGGCTTGAAACCCACTTTTCTTTTTCTTCTTTTTTTTTGGAGACGGTTTCTGAAAACAATTTTACGATATATCCTGAGTTCCTGGAACATTTGGCTTCTCGGGTAGGCCAGCCGGAATCGTGACATGTGGTGTGATGGCCTTGGATCAGCGCAGCAGATAAACCAGAAAGCAAAATTGTTTCCATGATCTCTAAGTAAACAGACGGTTTGGGGAGCTGGAAGCGGGTTCAGCTGCAAATGTTTGAACTGCCTGAGTCCTCTGGCGGAAAAACGAGAAATCTGCCCTGATCTGGGATCGTTCAAATCAGAAATCAGTGTCATATTGTCCCATAATCAAAGTTTCAACAGGTTGGTTAGTGTATGGAGACCTCTCACAGCTGGAGGTATCTAATAATACACCACACACTTTGCTGCATTTGGAGTGTTAAACATAGAAAAAAAAAGTTAAAATACCTCCTGAAATCTTTCTACAAATAATTCAATGATCCTGGTTGGGGTTCTGTTCAGCTCAACTGCTCAATTTTCACACCTAAAAACTAACCTCATCCACACAAAGAGTAAACAAAGCAAACGATTATTGCTGAAAATGAAGAAGCTCCTTTAAAAAAACAAACAAACTGTATCCTGTTTCACAACAGGAGGGTGCTGGGAGCATTCCCAAAAGTAAACTTTATCCTAAAAACACATCTCTGCCCTAATCCAAAAGAGGCCAAACAGAACAACTGTGGAGAACAAAGTAGTCTCAACAAGAATGGATGACACTGCCTGGTTATGTTGTTCTATTGATCTCCGTCAATAACAATAACAGCAACATACAGTTATTGTCATTTGCTTTATCTATTACATTTATTGCAAAAAAATCAGAAAAGGTAAACATTCAACTTAAGGTGATTTTTTTAGATGATATGATGAGCATTCAATGTATGTTAATTTTAATAATTAGCCCGTCTACAATCAATTTTAGGATGACTTTTACAAATGGTATTTAACATTTTTGTGGGATTTGATAACGTATTGATATAACAAGCCACTGGTTCCCAGATCTTACGTATGTTTGCTGTTTTTTGAGTTCAGTATTTTTTGTTTTGCTCTTACAGATGATCAGGAATACTTACATGTCAATGTTTTACAGACTGATGTGAAACCTTATTAATTAAATCCACAGAATTTGAGATTTGAGATGATCACTTGGCCCTGATTGACCAAGTCACAAACTAATCTTTCCGCTTAAAATGAAACTTCAGTAAGTTATGAGGATGCTTCAAAGCTTTTTTAAAAATGATCTAGATGTGTCATCTGAATATAAGCCCATTTCCCTGAAATATCTTTGAAATTATTCAGAAAAAGTCAAGGATTTACTAACCAAACACTTTGTTTAGTGTTTGGTGATTATAATTTAAATTGAAAACTGAACTATACCAACAAATATTCATAAAAAAAATAGTAGGATGCTCCTGTGCCTGCGGCTACATCATGAGATCTCAGTGTCAGTTCATTACGCTCCAAGTCCATTAAAGAATCCGTAAAAAGGGCTTTTACGAGAGCGCAGGCGCGTAAACTCACCCAGCAGCCCCTCGAACTGCTCGATGGCCAGCACCGCGTTGTCCTGCGTGCTGTGGTGGAGGTGGTTGGGCATCTTGGTCATGTTCCAGGGCATGGACCGGCACAGGGGGATCCGCACCGGCTCGCAGGACGCGGCCCGGGCGGCCGGCGTCCGGAGCGCGCAGGACACGGCCAGGAGAGCCACGGAGAGGCCCGGGGAGAGCATGACAGCCGGTTCAGAGAACTGAGGGGGGACACACTGAGGGGCCTCGCAGCGCAGGCGGTGGAAAGACCGCTCATCCAACTCAGTTAATCCAACTCAGGCTGGGCCTTTTTTTTTTTGTTCCCCTTGCTGATTGGTGCGTAATCGCTGCTGCTGCTGTCCGGTCTGCGGGCAGCTCAAAGAGAGAGAGAGAGCCGAGCTGCTTTTCTTATGCAGACTCCCACCTCCACCTCTTCCACAATCCCTCCTTCCCTCGACTTCCCCTCCCCTACGTTTTTTTTTCTCCGTCCCCTTCTCTCCTCTTATCCTGCGCACTAAAAAGCCAGATTCCTTTTAGATGAAAAGTCAACACGGGGCAAAGCCACTAAAAAGCTCTTAGATGCTCGTGTCGTTACATTTTATAGGATGAGTGCAGAGTTCTTACAACATATATGAAAATAATCCGCTGCAAGTCCCTTAAAGTCAGGTATCCGAAGTTTATGATGGCAACTCTGCAAATGAATTGCAGAATGAAATCAAACCGAGCGCTGCAGTCTGATGGCTCCTGCTCTGATAAAAGCCCCCCCCCCCCTGCAAAGGGTCATCAGGTGAACCCAAAAGGCTCTCCACCAACCGAGCTTCCTCAGTGATTAATATGATTTGTGCTAAAATATTCAGATTGTTATTCATTTAGTCACTGTATACATGTCAAAATCAAACCAGATAAACATGTTTGAAATGGAGACTGAGGCCCCCTCGGACAAAAAATCTAAAAAATCTAAGTAACCAATGTGAACTACCCTGCTGCCAACACACAGCATAACTTCACTGGAGTCTAAAAAGTCAAACTTTGGCATGAAACTTGGCTTCAGCGGGATATGAGCTAGTGAGCAGCTCAGTGGACTTACAGCTCATAGGTGGGTAAAAACTCAGAGCCTGTGAAAAAGACAGAGCCCCCACGGCTTCACCTGCTGAGCTCACGAAAGCACGTGTAAAGAGCTTGTCCTGTAACAAACTGAGAGAGAGAGGGATATGTCAGTCCATCAGAAGGGAGGCCACCTCTGAAATGAGCTCATGGGAAATGGACAACAATGGGAAGTTTGAGCACGAGACTGGACTGAGATTCTGTGTTCTTGTGCTGAATAAATGAACTATTCTTTCTCTTGGATCAGTGTTTTTGTTAATAGTTCCCTGGAAATCACCACGTTGATACCAGAATGCTATTTTCTATGTGTCTGTTTGGCAGTTTTCACTGATGCCACCAAAGAAATGAGAATAAATGTGTCTTTGCGATCTGCTTCTTGTAACAAAGTGCCTTAAACATACAATTCAAAATGAGTTCTTTGCTTAATTGTGTGTCGAGTTTAGACACAGAAATGATTCATCTTTTGAGTTAGGGACCTTTCTCTGCTCGGATGGTTCATCTATCAGTACTTAGGGTCACATGAGAGAATGAGGGAAAATAAAAAGGAAAAGCAGCCTCCATCCAAGGACGAACATACACAGATTACCTGAGAGCTGTAGTTTAAGATCACTTTTAAAAAATTACAATAAGGTCTGGCTGCTTGGGAGCAAAACAGAAAAAAAGGAGAGGTGGATTTAGGACTTTTGCAGAGTTTAGAAATCGTTTGGTAACAACGATCGGGTTAGGCCACTGCAAAAAAAAAAAAAAACATCCAATCAGTTCCACCTGAGACACGCGTACCTGCGCATGAAGATGTCGCTTTTTTGGGGCCAGTTTTGGCTAATCTGGGGATGATGATGGCTTCCAGCAGGTTCAGTGAGCAGAGCTGGCAGCCAGAGAGGCTGCGTGGAAGCCCGGACCATAAGGAGGCACTTGACCAGTCACTAACGCTGGAATGAGGGGAAACCTGTAACTGATTGAGTGGCTGATGTTGACCTCTGACCCCTGCAGGCTTGTTGCATTAACAGCTCTGTTATTGGTCCATTAAAACCGAATATGACGCAGCAAAGTGCGGCAGTGTGTGTGTGTGTGTGTGTGAGCGTGTGTGTGTGTTGATAGCAGTAATGGTTGTCAGATGTTGGAGGAGCTTCACATGTCGGGGTTGAGTTACAGCCAACAAACACACACATGCACACGCACGCACACAGCCTCTCCGGGTTTTCTGACTCATGGATCAACATGCAGAGAACTGAATCAGCACTTTGCCTTTTCATCCTTCCTTCCCTCCTTTCTTTTCTTCCCTCTCTTCTCTCCCCGTCCTCCCTTCGTTCGCCGGTTCTCATGATTCCGTCTCTGTAAGTGTGTTTTTTCTGACGTAAAAGCCTCTCTCAGTTGGCAGGGAAAATCTTATCAGAGGAGCAAACACACTCACATTTACGAACATAAGCACACACACACACACACAAAACACACATTCCTCTGCTACAGAAAACCCTTTACCCTTATCCTCCTCCCTTCTTCCACCTTTTCTCTCTCGTTCCAAGTCTCCTCTTATTTCATTCACATACTTTCTCATCTCTTTATTTCCTAAAACTTTTCTCCTGTGTCCGGCTCATTTCTTATCTTTTGCAGTTACTTTGAGGGTAATCAGAGTCGGTTTTAGGTGTCTGGGAATGCATTATGTCACCGAGGGTCCTCACAAAGATAGCCGCACGAACCTGTGTGCCGAGGCAATGAAAAGGTTTGATTTCAGCCAAAGTGAAAACGATTTCTCCCCTGTATGTGGAAATATTCTTGGAAACTACCAGAATCTTTTCCAACATAAATAAGACTGCAGCTGTACACACACATGTGCACACACGGTATTGCTAAGGACTGAAAGTAATCTGCAGCCATTACTGATTTTTTGCTGCGGAGCCTGAAAGTGGAGCTAAAAATGCGCTTTGCCCCAAGGCTGGTGTTTGAGGAAAAGTCACAGGGGCATTAAAGAAATCTCCTTTGGTGTTGCACTCCATCTGTGCTGTCAGATTTACGATACGGAGTTTAAACATGGCGACACAGAGAAATCGTCTTTATTTTTAGCACGTTCTTCTTTCTTGTCAAAAGACAGAACGCTAACCACATCTCATTGTTTTGCCATTCAGGGGACGCTCTGCAGGGGGCTCCAATCCACATTTCAGGTTCTTTTCATTTCTATAGAGGGTGAAGAGGCTGCATGTTGAGAAGTAACTAGTTTTGGTGCTCAAAGGCCCAGTTCCTGTATTTGTTTTTCTCTTTTCTAGTCTGTTTCATATCAAAATGAATGCAATCTGCCCCAGAGCAGCTCAAGTTGCAAGAAGGGGGCATCAACACATGACAAGATGACACTGGTGCATTGACAACAACAGAGCCTTTGTCAGACTCCTGTGAAACACCGGCTACACTTCCATTCCCAAGGCGACTGTTTATGTGGCCTAAAATAGAAACCGATTACTCCGAAGCATGTTCCTGATAACCATCACCTTGCCCTTTTTGGCCCACGGACATTTCTCCCTTAAACTGGACAAAATGCAAAAACAAGAAGAGTTCAGAGACAAGAGCTGATCAGCGTTTAAAGACAGAGTTAATTGTGTTTTTTCCACACAGGATCAACCACACAGACGTGCTACAATCAGTCTAAAAGATGGAGGTTTGATAGCTGTGAGCCATATTGGTGGCAATTAAGTGGAAAATATGATGAGGCGACACTTTTTACTAACTACAACGTACTTCAACATGACACAAACACGTGTTTAACTTTTCCTGTGTCCGTGCAAAGTACTTGAAATCTTTATTTCAGTAAAAAAACAGCCATCTGTTTCTGTGGTGGTGCATTCGCAGCACAATTTTGCACTTTGATCAACCCACCGAGGGGATTCTGTCTGTTCTCACCACATTTGGGTTTATTGCAGTGGGAGCCGAACGGTTGCCTGCTCGCCCTCAAATGAGATTGGCAGATTTACAAAGATGTAAATCCAGCCGGGCGTCAAACAAAAATGTAATTACAAAAGTTTATCCTCGAGCCCGGCCTCCTCGCAGCGAGAGGGTTCCCGGCCCTGAATCCCTGGGGGGATTCTGTGTGGAGTTTGCCTGTTCTCCCAGAGTGTGTGTGGGTTCTCCGTGGGAGACTCTTAAGTTGCCCAAAACAGTGAATGTGTGTGGGTGTGGTTGTTTATCCCTGGGATGGATTGGTGACCTGTCCAGGGTGTACTCTGCCTTTTGCCCAATGACAGCTGATGCTGAGGCCGAAACTAACATCAGTAATATCTAAAATCATTCAAAAGTGGGATTAAGCTAATCTAAAAATAAAAAGAACTGCACTTCCAAATTAAAGTATTAAAGATCACACTAATGTATTCATGTATGAATATATTTGTGTACATTTAAATATATACTAATAGTAAATAAGTAAATAAAGTAAATGAGTAAATAATGTAGATTTAAAAATCTTATATATTAATACTCTTATTTCTCTGCTTTAACAGTGTTTTGGCTGTTTTAAATGTTTCAGGTGTGCCTTTTTATTTGAGTTTGCACGGTAAAATTAAGGATGTGTCGCCCCCTTGTGGAGATCATAGGAGCATTCTCACTCACCAGCTGTCCAGACACATTTGAGCTGCCTGTCAGAAAATATCCTGATGTTGTGTCCTTTTCATTATCTTCACCTACTGAAATTCCCCCCTCACACACGTGTGCGGCCCCTGTTTTATCAGTGATGTGCGTTATGGACGCGTTACTGTCGCAGAGCCCAGAGAAACTCAGACAAGCAGCAGGTCTCATGTTACACAGCAGCAGCTAACCTCCAGCAGAGACTTCCCACTGGTCAGACTGGGCTGGTTCTGGTCCGGTGTGGAGCAGCCATCAGCCAGCAAAAGGCCCCAGAAAGAGCAGAGAGGATGATGAGGGCAGAGGTGTTTTTGTCTTCTACAAACTGAGCCGTTTTCTGAGGGGTTTCAACCGGACTATTTTCCATCAGTGAATTTAGGAGGCTGTTTGCGTAAAGCCGGACAAGAACTGACGTCTGAAAGAAGAGGTATTGTATATGAGGTATATTTCTGGTTTTTAAGAGTTGTCATTGTGTGTTTTATGTGGTTTGAAATTACATTCTTTCAGACTCGTTCATCAAAATGTTTGGTTTGACAAAATTGTCCTTTTTAGTAGCCAGACTTTCTTGTAATCTTTAAAGATGGTCCAGAGCAATAGTTCCCCAGGCTTTTTTAAAGATCTTTCAAAGATTTTCTCTGGAGATTGGTTGCTCATTCACCCATTTTCAGTCCAGTTGTTTTACCTGACCAGTTTCAGAAGAAGGTTTTTGTTTTGTCTGTCGAGACACATAAGGTTGCCTTATATGTCATTCAAAGCCTAAAAGTACCTAACTCAACAGATAAAGCAGTGATGTGTCTACACAGAGTACTTAGCAAAAGCATTCTAAATCCAGCAAAGATCAGACACACAACCTCAGATATGCATCCAGACATTTAAGCCTAGGGAAAAATACCAAGCTGTGGCAAATGACACGAGAAGTGGACTGAAAATCAGTGGCAACAGGTGTGATGGAGGGATGAATCCTCCCCAAAACCTGGACCTCAGCATTGTTGCAGCAGTGTGGGATCACATGACAGAGAACAGAGCCAACATCCGAAGAGGAGCTTTGGGATGCTTTGCCAAAAAGCCTGGAGAGCTATTCTTAGACTGAACAGTGCCAGACGGTGACTTTAGGCTTTGTTGCCATTGTTCAATATTTGAACTGGATACTACTTACACATTTATGGATGCACGTGTTCAAATAAAGAGGAAATGTGTTGTTCTGCCACCACTCTGCTCATCAACAGCGAGTGAAATAAATCAGCCTGGAAAAAATATCTTAATTAAATCAAACTGGAAGGAAAGTAATCCAGGAAAAAGAATGGGTGCAAACTAAACTCAGAATAGGAGATTAACAGAAAGGATAAAGAAAATAAAATGCAAAAAAATGCTAATCATAAAAATCTTCTCATAATCTTCTGTTTTGAAAAACACTGGTTTCTAAAAAATCTGTAAATGTAACTCAAGCTGGAGAAAACTGTGGAGAGCCATTTTTTGTTGTGCAAATTATATGATTCTTATGCCCATAAATCTTTTCCCTATCAAATGTATTTATGAGTAATCACTTTTTAAAGCATAAATATTGGATGTAGATACTTAAGTGCCTCTCACTGATCTTTCAGGCTCAGTTTAATGATGCAGTCCCTGACAGAAGAGATCCAGAGCTTTTCCCGGACTCGGCTGAGGAAGCAGTGCACGCGGGTGACGTCTCTGAGCGGCCGGCGGATCATCGAGACCTGGAAGGGCTCGACCATCACGGTGGTCGAGGAATCGGTGCTCCCGGAGAAGATGCTGGGCTACGTTCCCGACACCTCCTGGGACCTGCAGGTCGGCATCGTCAAACCCTTCCTGCTGCTGGGTGAGTGGCGAAGACATGACTAAATCAATAGAATCAAATAAAAAAACACAAGACAAAAAAAGGGGAAAGCAAAACAGACCCAATCCAGGATAGTACCAACCACCATATTTAAAAGATGGAGCTGTAAAAAGCTCCGGATTGCTGAGATCTCCTTTTGCTCTATCACACTTCTCGTTCAAACCACAAAGTTTTATGTCTGCAATATAGTTTTCATGGACCGAATGTATTTTTTTACCATCTTCTGGCTTTTCTGAGTGATATCTTGGGTGTAACGATGCACATGATTGTTAGAAATTCAAGCTGGCAGTTCTCTAATAGGTGAGTCTTTTCCACTGAGGGGGGGATGCTTCCCCAAAGGAGGAAGAGACCGGGTCCTCCTCCTCCTCCCCTCACCTGCCTCTGGGTGCAGCCTCCAGCATCATGGCCTCCCTCTCAGCGCGGCAGGAAACATGAGCCCATAGGTGGGGGAGGTCTGGGAGAGACGCGGCCTATCAGGGCTGAGCGTGGAGCCAGGATGACCCTCTGACCTGCAGTCGATACTTCACCTGCTAAGCACTGGGCTCTGATCCTGGTTTGACCGGGGCCGTGGTCAAACCAGCTCAAAGACAAGTCCTGTGTTACATTTCTAATGAGCTTTTTGTGTGTGTAGGTTCTCAGGATGCTGCGCATGACTTTGGCACTCTGAGAAAACACAAGGTGAGCAAACCAATTTTCCCAAACATAAAGTGTGAATGAATTTTTGACAAACTGATCAACATAAAGCAAAGTCACAGTGTCACCATAACTTCTTATATGAACAAAATCAGGATAAAAATGTCAGAGATAATCAGTGTTGTTAAGTTTAGCTCATAGAGGTTTGAATAAGTTCAGTGTACGCGATCCTTTTTCTTCACTTTGCTCCATTTATTCAGCAGAGCCTCATTTGGAAATTCAGATAAATATGGATTAGTGTGCAGACTCCCCAAAGAACAGAAACAAATAAATGCATTTGTGCATTTGTTTGTGCGTTCTAGTCATTTTAATATTTTGTGGAATGAAACAGCATCTGTTGGTAAGTTTTTATTTTTCCAACGTCCAGTTGAGTGACTTGAAGTCTTCTGATTAAATAAGAGTTACAGTGAGTAAAGATAATCAATGGACCAAGTTTTTGGTCAGTTTGAGATACCCAAATTCTATTCTATGAGTTTTGAAGTAATATAAATCAGTTATAATGACTTTGTAATGTGGTTATTAAAAAAAAGGCAATTTTGTAGCCAAATGAATCATAAATGAGAGAAAACACCTCTTTTTCATAGATAAATAGATGAAAAGATTCTTAGAGAAAATATAAAATGCATATATCAGTGTTTTAAAAAGTCTTTGCTGTTCTCCATCTTTTCTCCTTTTTTTCATTTCCAGGTGTCTCACATCCTGAACGTGGCTTTTGGAGTGGAAAATGTTTTCCCGGACCTTTTTCTCTACAAGACCGTCAGTATTCTGGATCTCCCTGACACCGATCTGGTGCCGTACATCCAGGAGTGCTGCGACTTCATCCAGCAGGCTCGCAGCGAGGTAATCCTCCAGTCCCCCCCCCCCCCGCTGCCACCTCATTTATCAATGCAAACAATCTGTTATTGGACTGAAAACCACTCATCAAAAGCTTTTTTGATAAGCAATCTCGTCATTTTTTAAACAAAACAAAACCAACATGTGGAAAAATTAATATGAACAATCAAACTAGAGCCACTTTAAGAATTGATAAGTTGAAATGACCATTTTCTGTGTGAGGTTAATCCGTCTCTCAGATGGCCGTGGGGCAGTTTTAGCCCTCTCTTTGCTCCAGCGGGGCCTCAGCTCATCGATGTTTGCCTCGTTGGTTTCGGAACTGCCTTTTACCGGGACACTGTTTCACTCTGTAAACAAAAACTTTGCTCGCACGGGCCTCATTCCTCATTTCGATGCACATTTGCAAAAGCGATAACATCATCGTTGTATCGAGTGTCCAGTGAGGGCCAGCAGCAGCTGCAACACAACGCAGAGGTCACAGGCCCCGAACCACAACACACATAATCATTCCTGTTAAAATTTCCCTTCCTGATGAACTCAGAAACATGAGCCTCACATTACCGAGCCGCCGCACAAAGGCTCGCCGGGGAAAAGTGAACTCCCGACATTAGTTTGCTGCTAATTAACTGTGCGGCCGCAAAGACGTTTTATAAATGGGGCCCTTATCGCTTCAGAGGTCTTGACATGGAAACGGCGTCTTTGTTCTGCAGATATGAGGTGGAACACATTGCTTTAGTCATTGTGAACATCCAGGTCGATCGCCCTGTCACAGTCAGGAAGTAAACATGAAAACAGGAAGGTTTGCGGCTGGATTGGAGAGAAAACAGCCCAAAAATTATTTAAAATCAGATTTGAGAGGTGAAAGAACAATTGCTCGAGGGAATATGGACTGAGATGAAGCTGAATAATATCCTGACATTTGACAATCTTGAGACCTTTATTTTTGGGAACCCGTAGATGCTGGGTTTGGCTGAAGACCAGAGGAGCCATCTGACTTGGTGTTACTACACAGTTATAAGCTAAAATCTATATGATTACAGGTATACGCATGCCATGTCTGACTGATTATCGTACAGGTTTTGGTCTTTTATATGCATCCAACCTTTTTCCTTTTTTTGGTGGAATGTTTTACTTATTTAATTCAAGACAATGTCCAAACCCATTCAACACATATTCCAGCAGCAAAACCCAATAGCAGATGTTTAACCCTATAATGCCAAATGTATCATATTTGATTCATACGGTTTCTGAAGTCTTTTGGATCTGAGACTTTTTGCATCATTCAATTGTAAAAGCTTTGCTCAAACCCCTGTTGTACACATTCAGATATACCTGATAACAGCGAGTACAAGACTACACCAAAATAGATTTTTGACTTATTGCACGCTTATTTGATCAAAATGATTTCTGTTTTTTTTCTTCATATGTTGTTGAAGGGCTAAAGAAAGACTTCAGACTAAAAAAATCCAATATTCTTTCTTATTTTCTTGGATCAGGCTTTGAAGGGTCAATATGTTCAGTCACCAGTTTTTTCATTCAAATTAAAATCTTAGTTTAAACCATTTTTGAAAAAGTAGTATGTGAAAAAGTTTTGTATGTTTAAAAAGGCAGTGTAACGACATGAGCTGTAAACCATGGCGTGATTTTAGCTACACTTTAAACTGAGGGCCCCAGATAAAAGTCAAACCTAAAGAAACCGTCCCATCAAGCCAACAGCGGCGTCAATAAGTAGGTGAAGAGCCACATCTCCACATCCATACATCTCCTCTCCTTGCGTCCTTACCTCGTTTCCTCTCCTCATCCTCTTGTTTTAAATAATAAATGCTTAGTTTTGTTCATGTTTTATTAAACTGCACTCAGATCAGATCTCACTGTCATACAAGCTTTTAGCAGCGCAGCCCAGGGCTCACCTTAACATGACACCCCACACACACACACACACACACACACCCACACACACACACACGCACAGTGATTAGACAGTCATTAGAGGGGTATGATTACAGGAAGTGTGTGTGTCTTCATTATGATGACATACTTCCGTGTGTGTGTGTGTTTTGGTAATTCCAGCCCCGATAATCAAACTGATGCTTTTTGTTTACATGCTAGCTCACATTACCCAGCAGGCCATCTGGCTGCTGAGTATTGCAGATATTGAATTTATCAACACTGAAATGGACACATGTGAACTACATAACTTATGGAAAAAAAAGACGCTGGTCCCATTAAAAGAAATTCAGCTGTGAAATTGGTCAGCGCTATTTAAATGGTCAGGACACTCTTTGGAAAGAGATTTTAAACTCAGTTTATCCTTCCAGGGTTTTTTTTTCTTTATTCTGTCCAGATTTGAGTGTTTTTTCCTAAAACTTTTATTTATTATTTTTAAATGACTTCGTTTCCCCAAGTACTCTTTCTTTCTGATTAACATTTCTCTTAAAAAAAGAAGAAAAGCCTTGTTTCCAGTTGAGGTTTCAACCTTTTGCTCGTGGCTAAAAGGCACAGGCTCGTTGTGAAATCCAGGCAGATAACTGGGGCACGTTGTGGTGTGAAGCTGTCTTGGCAGGGAAGATAAATGTTGTAATGGAGAAGCTAATAAGTTTCCAGACACATTAACAAACAAGGTGTCTATTCGCTAAATTGCTTGTTGTGGTGTGAAACCCAGCTCCTCAATCTGAAGTCACAGTTCGGTCCTGCTGGAGCGAGGAGCCCACCGGCGGTCAGATAGAGTCACTGCAGTTCATGTTTGAACCTTTTTGTTTGGTCTTTGTCTTAGATGAATTCAAATGATCCATTATTTCCCCCCTCAAAATTCAGAGAGAGTGTCAAAAGTGCATCTGCTGTTAGATCAATCACATCATCAATCACATGTTCCACTTTTTTTGTTACAATTTTTTCTTTTTCTTGGTGCATATTTACATTGATTCACAGCTCTTTTCTCATAAAAAAATGTAATAATGAAAACAAAGATGAGATAACCTTTTTCTTGATCTAAAAGGCATGATTATGTTAAACTGTTTAATCCCCAGCTATATTTTTCACATTTAACAATCTAGTAAATTATAACATCCTACAGGTCAAAATAATTGCTGATGTCATGGTAATATTGTATTAATATTATCAGTGTTCTGCACTTAAAAACCTTTTTTAAACATTTGAAACTCCACTGCACATGACTGTGTCATCTGCAAAGAGGTGGATTTATTTTTGCTTATTGCCCCAACCTGAGGCATTTATCATAATTCAAATGTCTACAGAATGTTTTCCAACGGCCTTAAAACTTAAACCAGGATCACTTTACTTCACCACGAAAGATAGTAAACGTTAAACTATTTGTAATACTATTTCAGGGTTGGAAAAGTTAGTGAATTGACACCAAGATAATGGCTTGTTTATGATCTTCTTAGGAAACATCTGTGTTTTTAACATGCTCTTGTGTTTCAGAAAGGTGTGGTGTTGGCCCACTGCAACGCTGGCGTGTCCCGTGCCCCTGCTGTGGTCATTGGCTACCTGATGTCATGTGAGGGCCAGTCCTTCGACGACGCCCTCTCGGCGGTAAAATCCGCCCGGCCTGCCTCTTCCCCCAATCCGGGTTTCCTGGAACAACTGAGGAGCTACAAGCCGCCAACAACGAACGGGTCCAAACACTGAAGGCTACACGGGACACGTTGAGAGTGGCTTAAATGTAACCTAAAAATAAGCTTTTTTCAATGTAGCAGGAAAATATTTCAATGTCTAACTAATGCGGATTATTATAAGGTTTTTAAGTATACTTTTTTTCATTGTTGGGTGTTTTTGAACTGACTCTCATTCATGCGTCTCACATTTAAAAATGATCTGTAACACATTTTTGTTATAACCAAATTTCTTTACATTTCTCTGATAGCATTTGTTTTGGCGGATTTTGAAACAAATCGGTGTTAATTCTTGTGTGTGTGCTACTAAGGATGACATCTTTTCATGTTGTTTTTCTGTACTGGAAATGATCATTGAAGGTAAAATTAATCTTTATTTTAAGGCGTCCAGAGTTTTACAACACCAGGCGGCCACCAACACCACAATGTCATTTCTAAATATAAAAAGGAATAAAGATTTTCTCAATGGAGGCACAAATATTTGTAGTTATTGCTCCAAGTGTGAAACTAAAATGCTATTCATAAGAAAAAACAGTTTTCTTGCAATCTTCTTAAGGCACTGTGAAACATGTAGAAAAACTGACAAAACACCACAATGTCATTTCTAAATACAAAATAAATACAGATTTTACTCAACGGATGCACAAATATTTGTAGTTATTGCTCCAAGTGTGAAACTAAAATACTATTCATGAGAAAAACCTGCTTTCTTGCAATCTTGCAATCAAGGCACTGTGAAACATGTAAAAAAAACTAACAAAAAAATCTATATTTGACCAATAATTTTGGCCTTTAACAATTAAACAAGATATGCATGATTCTACTTAAAAACGGGGCAGAGGGATGCTGAGCAGTGTGTTGCATCACCCCTACACACACTGTAACCCTTGTGATAAAGGGTGAGACACCTCCACCCTCCTGAGCCAGAGAGCAGCACCCAACACCACGCCGCTCCTCCGGGCAGCATGTGGATGAGAGCGGGGGGAAAATGTCTCTCCATCGTGCGAAAATAAAGAGTGCGCTGGCTCTCCTGCCCCCTGTGCTCTCTGCCGACGATGGGCTCCATCTGCTCGGGTGTGAAGGGGAAGACGGTGGTGACGGTGACGCCACGTGAGGACTCTCCGGTTCGGACGGTGACAGGTCAGACGGTCAGCTCTCCCTAAATACTTAATATGTTCTTCTCATATCTCCATTTTTCTTTTTTTAGCAGTAAGGCTTTATTGGGATTTTTTTTCTTCCCATATTCATAATTTAGATGAGATTTCCTGCCACTTAAATGTTGTGTTGTAAATATAACTAGACATCCTCTGAGGAATGTCCTCGCATGACAACAACTGTACTGTTACAAAAGTCCTGATCTCACTGTGACCTGAAGGGATCTCTGAAGCATTATAACGCGGGCTTAATGATGGCTAAAAGGGGTTTCAGGTCATTGGTTTTCCTCTTTTTGTTTCCTATTGCCATGCTTACTTTTAGTTTTTTCCTATCATCATCCATGGTTTTGGTTCAAAGTGTGTGTTATTTCACCTGTAAGTCCATTTTCTGTGTTTTGTATGAGGTTTATTCATACTGTGTTCTGTCTTATTGACAGATTGGGGTCTAAAATTAAGCAACACGTCTCCCAGCTCGGCTCAGGTTCCACTCGTTGGCTGAAAAGCCTTTTTGACAAACAAAGACCTGAATATATTACGGACACACACACACACGCGTACACACACCCTCATCCAGGCGCCCACATGATCATCTTAATTATCTCCTCAGTTTTGTTGCTTTTCAAGAAGAGACAAATACTGTTCGGTCAGCCGGGTGACCAATCAGACAGCAGCTGTGGCCCTGAGGGGTTCCTACCACAAGTACTAATTATTTAAACAATGTGGACACACACTCAGAAGCATGGCCGGACTATTAAACAACGGGTTCTTGGTCACACACACGTCAGAGGTCCTGTAGCTTCCTCCATGATGCATTTATCTTCTCAGTGGTTGATGAAGGCTTAATTGATTTTGATCCCTCAGATTTTTGACAGATTTTCCCCGTTTTTTACGTTGTAATCTCCTCCTGACTTCAAATTTCCTTGTTCAAGTAACACAATTCTTCGCTCGCCACTCATGACCTCAACCATAAAAGTAGCGTTTTTCACAGTATTATAGAATAAAGTTTTTTTTTCTTGTCGTACATTAGGGGACTCTCTGCAGCCAGCGGAAGCTTCCAGCCAGCGGCAGAATGGGATCAGGGACAGGTACAGCATCGGGAGGCGTTTCCTTTCTCCAGACGATTGCTGTGCTGGGAAGACCCACAAGCCCCGGTAAGAAACACAACGCTGACCTCGGCACATCTCCGAGTTCAGCAAAGTTTGCCAAACAGAAGAATTTAGCTTTTGTCAACATTTAAGATGCTGAAACCTTTGGACAGACTTTATTCAAACTTAATTCTGAATCAAACGATTGATTAAACTTTAATGTTAACTGCATAATATAATTACACAAATGAACATAACTATATAGATATATTAATAATATCAGCAAGCAACAGTCTATCATTAAACTAACTGTATTTACTCTGGAAACACATGGTTTACAGTAAAGACACACTCATATATCCTCACCTACAGCTTCACTACAACAAAAAAAACAAACTACTTGTTTCATTCATCCTAATATTTTAGTTCTGTTACATGAGAATTTTCTGACATGACATATTGTGGAAAATGTGGAATGTTCTTTTATTATTTTCACGTAAGATCCCTAAGATGGATGGCTGGTAAAATGGAATTTTGCAATGAAGGATATACTAAATAGTAAAATTAAATCCAAATTTGTCCAATCTATTCAGATGTAATCTAAGAGAAAGTGGTCTCGCTAAGGGATATAACAGATTTAATCAAGACTTCTCTTTGATTCCTTTCCCCCATCCTGAACGTGGAAAGGAAAAAAAAAACATGTTTCACAAGCAGGAACCTTTGTCGTCGTTGTTTCTGGCAACTTAGAAAAGAAAAGGCTCATAATAAGTGGAAAAAGTCAAAAGTCAATCATTAAAATGAACTATCACCAGAGAAGAGGCAAAAAAATCTCATATGGTGTTCCAGAGTGGATTAAAATCACCGACCCGTGCATGTAATGATAAAAAAATCCTCCCGGTTCCCCGTCACACATAAATCCCCGTCGGTATTCAGCCCGTGTATCCATCCACGTCACAAAGTTGACTGATAGGTTGTGAAGTGAAGCAGTCGTTTTCTGGGCTGAAAAAGATTGGGCTGGCGGAGCCTGTCGGCCTGACATGGGGGAGACTAACCTGGCTGTCAGCCTGCTGCTGAGGGCTGTAAAGATGTGTGCTGTGATGGGATATTTCGTCTGGTTAGCGTTCAGCCTTTTACGGATCTCCAGAGACATAGCCAGACGCCAAATGGAGGAACTGCACAACAGGTACGTGGGTGTGGAGTGTGTATTTGGAGACGGGACAGACAGAAAGCCAGAGTTCTGCTGTGATTGCCATGAATTTGCCATAATAACCCAAAAGTTAGACCTTAATGCAAATGATCTGAGCTGCAACTATGATAACACGTCAAGTAATTCAGTGTTTACAGTAAAGAGTGAGCTTCAAAGTAAAAATATTTCAAACTCCTAAGAGAAGAAATCTGTGCTCTGTGGCTGAACTGAGTTTGAGTTCAATCTTTGTATCTCAGATGTTAAGTCTGAAGGTAATGGATGATCTTTGTTGTTTTGGCATGTTTTGTGAGCGTCTCTATTAATTGAAATGAATTAAAATCAGTTTGGGATCCAGGTGCCTGAGCTGTTGAACGGTGACACACTTTAAAAATCTTTTTTATCTTTATTTTGGCTGATCCAGAAGGACACCAGGATTTTAAATATTGGGTTCAGCCATAATCGTACATTAAATATTCATGTTCACGCGTTAGCCGGAACGTAACCGGAACGTAACTGAAAGAATTTGTTTTTACACTCAGACAATTCTGCTGGTTGTCCGAGTCTCTTTTGGACTCAAAGTTCTGCTAGTTCTTTCTGGAAAGTTCCTGTCCAGTTTGAAAAGGATTGGGAAGCAACAAATAAAAGCATTACACATGTTACTTTTCTTTGCCATTTAATAAAATGGAGCAAGTGTTTGTTGTTCCATATGTGATCATTATTGTTTTGGAGTTGGCGGCTGCAAATGGCGTGGTGCTGAGCTCCATGATTTCAGTGTAAAAGGAAAAAAATTAGGCTTTTTCCCTTTAGAAGTTTTGGTTTTGCAGCTTCATGATCTACAGAGTGAACAAAAATCCCACTGTGTACTTCTACTGTTTTCATGAAAATGGTTTCATTCTGATTTGAAACTAAATAAGCTTTGGGCTGCAACATGACACTTTTTAATTTTAGTATTTCGGAGCTTTGATGCCTCTCTCCTCACCTCATTCTGCAGCTTCTCTTCTGGCCTTACTGACTAAAAGGGCATTTCAATTTTCAAACGATCCAATGCAAACAACCCGGAAATAACATTCTTATTATGAAGTACTTTTTATAATGACCTTTGTCTGTAATTTAATCATTCTCCTATGAATCCATTTAAAGATAAACCTTATCTGAATTTAGCTTATCCACTTTTGTCTGTCCTGAGATGGAACACAGGGCAGACACATGGTGGCTTGATCTGTTAATAACATCCACAAACTACACATTTACCTGAGTGTTTACTCGGCATGTCCACAACCGATCTGATCCACAGGTGGGTTAATCTGCTCTCAGTAAAAATCTCCAGCAGGTTGGATTAGTGTCTAATGTTATTGCGGTGAGGTTAAGTACTGACAGGCATCTATGAATATTGATGGCACTGTTCAATTTTCTAAATTAGAAATTATTTTTCAGCTTTTTTTTTCTTTAATCCCCAGTAAGGGCCCCTTCGTTGCATAAACACTGGAGCATTGACCCCAGGGCAAAACCAAAAGGCAGAATCCCTTGGAGACATACAGTCTAAAATATGTATAACCAACTTCTAAAATCTTTATGACTCAGCAGTCTAAAAACCAATATTGATTTGATTTAATGCATTCCTGTAGATACGTTTAAACTTAACTGTCTGTGAAGACTCGGAAGGCCCAAAATTTCCATTGGATGCTGTGTAGTCTTTTGTAGCTGATTCTCCAAATTTGTTTAAGAGAAATACATGTAAGTGGCGTAAATAGGCTAATCACCCAAATTCATCAGTTCTAAAA